TTAGGTAGTAGCTTATATTTAGGGTGATTTCCCTTTTCTTCTTAGGTTTTAACTGCCTTATAGGCGCTACTTACTAGCTTGTTATAGTTACTTATCTTAGTTACTTACTTATAATTACCCTCTGTTAGCCTAACTACCTTTTAGTTATAGGCGTTTCCCTTAGCTGTTACTAAAGGGCGTATACGTCTGTTAGAGGATTTACTACTAGTAGTATAGGTAACTATAAAGACTTATAGTTAAATAGAAACTTAAAAAAGGAAAGGCTTACGTTAAGCTTATAGGTAATAAAGGCTATTACGTTAGTAACGTAAAATAATTTAAAGAGAAATAGGAAAAAATATATAAAAAAAAAGTTAGTAAGCTTTATAGGCTTATAATAAAAGGAAAGTAAAAGGTAAATAATTACTAATTAACAATAAGTTAGTACATAAAGTAAGGTGTTTTTTTTATAGTTAAGAGTGCTTTTTATAAAGCGATAAGGCTTATTTACTTATATAAGTAATATAAATTTACACTACTCTTACTATATTAAGGGGATATAACTACTAGGTAATATAAATTAACCTAAAATAGGCGTATAGCGTAATCTTATTATAAGGGTATTTATAGAGGGATTTTTTAGTAAAGCCTACTCTAGGCCTCTATAGATAGTTAATAGTAAAGAATTACTTCTTCTTATATTACTTTACTAATTTATAGTAGCTTATAGTAGTAGTTACTATAAAGTTAACTACTAATTAGTATTAGTTTTACTAGGATAGTAATATAGTTAACTATATATATTAATAGGTAAGTAATAAATAATAGGGGTAAATACTAGTTCTAAATTATATATAAAGAAGAAAAACTATTATAGGATTATATAGCAAATTTACTACGTAATATCTTTATAGATCTAGTAGATCTATAGTAAATTAGCTATAGTTATTCTAACTAATTAGCGTTAATCTATATTACTAATATCTAGGTAATAGTTAATATTATAATAATAATATAAAGTAACTAAGGTATTACTAGTAAAAGCCTTTATAAGTTACACTCTATAAAACCCCTATAATATAAGACTAATAAGATAAAAACTAGTAGAGGTCCTTATAGCCTATAAAAAGGTTAAGGAGCTAAGGAGCTAGAGGGCTACTATTATTAGTATACTAAAGTCTATAAGCTAGACCTATAAGAAGTAGTATAACTAAAGAAGGACAGACGTTAAGTTTAAGGTAAAAAAAAAGGTCTTATTATTAGCTAAATTTATTAAGTAGAGATAACTATTAAAAAAGCTAGTAGATAAGTATCTTAAACCTTTTATAGTAATATAAGTAGTTACTAGTAAAAAAGCCTATAAGCTAGATATAAAAATAAAGTACTATATTTATAATATATTCTTATTATCCTAGCTAGAGAAGTTTAAATAAGAAGGCTATATTATTAGCCTATTTAAATTAAAAAAAAAGAGGATATATATAAAGTAGACTAAATAGTAGTATATAAAGGACTATAGTAAAATAGGTAGTATTTTATTAAATAAAAAGAATATAGTAAAAAAGAAAATTTATAAAAGCTATAAAGAAATATATTTAAGGATTTATAGTAAGACTATAAGTAGGGGGTTACTAGGGGGGTATAAAAAAGACACTAAGTAAAAGTAAGTACTTAGCTTAAAGGGCTAGATTTTTTTAATTATTCTTTAGCACTAAGGCTAGAAAGTATATAGCCTAAAAGCTAAGTATCTAAAGCTATAGTAGCTAGAAAAAAAAAATAAAACTAGAAGAGGGCCTAAGGGGGAGGCACTAGGGGGGTAATAGCGCCTACTTCTTCTCCTTATCCTTACCTTTACTAGGCGCACTAAAGGCTATATTACTTTTAGACTAAAAGTTAAGGTTAGTAAAGTGCTAGAATAAAAGTTAGTAACTAAGGAGTAGTAAGAGGTTACTAAGGGAAAAATAATATATAACCTAGAAGTAAGTAGTAGCCTACTTAAAAAAAAAGCGCCTTAGGCCTTAATAGCCTTAGTTTACTCCTTAAGGAGCGTATTCTAGTGCTAAAGCGCTATAGTAGCTACCTTAGCTAACTTAGCTAGGGAGGTAGTAGTAGTAGTAAAGGCCTTAAGGGCTATAACCTTATAGCTATAAAGAAGCTACTTCTCCTTTTTAGCCTTAGCCTTATACTTAGTGTTAAAAGCCTTAGTAGTATTTATTTTTTTTTAAAAGGCTTTTTTAACTATAGTTTAAGTAGTAGTAACCTCTTTTTATATAAAAGGTTAGTTAGGAAGTAGTTATAAGGTACTAAGAGAGATATACTTTATAGTAGTAGTAGTTAGTATATATAGTACTATTATAGTAAAAGGCCTTAAAGACGTTCTTAAAAGTAAAAGTAGTAAAGGTTATAGTATAAGTAGCTTATAAAAGGTTAATAAAAGGTTACTAAAGTACTTCTTACTAGTAAAAAAAAGATAATAATATAAAAATACTTACTTAGATATACTTCTTACTATATATCTTAGTATACTAAAAGTACTTATTACTAGTAGCTAATAGTATAATTAGGACTAAGATATAAGTAAAAAGAGGCCTTTAGGGGGCACTAAGGTGTTAGATACTTACTAGTAGTCTTAAGGTAGTAAAAAAACTTAGCCTTAGTGTTAGCTATATTTATATACTAAATAAATATAGCCTAAAGGTAGTAGTAATATAAAATAAAATAAACTATAGTATAGTTATTTTTATTTTTTTTATTTAAAAAGCTAATAGACTAAAGGGGTAGTAAGGAGGTAGTAGTAAGGCTTGTAGTAAGGGTAGTAGTATTAGTAGTAGTAGTAGTATTAGTAAGAGTAGTAGTAAATATAATAGTAGTAGTAAAAAAGCTAGTAGTACTAATACTATTACTAGTATTATTACTATTACTATTACTACTAAGTAGTAGTAGTAATAGTAATAGTAAAAAAAATAAAAATAATAATATAAAAGTATTATAAAAAAAATAAGTAATAAAGAAATTAATAAAAACCTAAGTTAATTTAAATTACTTATTTTAAGTTAGTATTAAAAAAAAGCTAGTTATAATAATAACTTAAGCTTATAAAGTTAAGACTAAATAGGCCTTAGTAAGAAAAGCTAGCTAAGACTAAAAGGTTACTAGTACTAACTATAAAAAGTAAAATAAAATTTTTTTTTTATTATAAAAGTAATATAACTTAAGGCTTAATAAATAGTTAATAAAAAAGCTAAATATTATAATAATAAAAATAATAAAAAGTATATAGTACTTAAAGAAGTACTATAAAGCCTAGTTAATAAAAAGTATTAAAAGGTATTATAAATAAATAAGGTATTCTTATTATAAAGTAAGTAGTCTCTTACTAAGTAAAATAATATAAGACTTATACTTTAGGCTAAAAGACTAGACTACACTAAGGGAGTAGTAGTTAAGGCCTAGCTAGAATATAATAGTATAAAAGTAAGGCTAAAAGTAAATAGTTAGCTAAAAAGATAACTACTTATTTAGCAGCCTACTAGGCCTAATAGGCGTTTCTAAATACCTCTTAAGATACTAAAAGATAAGTATAAGGTATAAAGCTTAGCTATTAAATAGTCTAAGTAGCTAATAAGGGGACTACTAGTAAGTAGCTAGCTTAAGGCCTTAAGAGATTAGGAGTTAGGTATAAGGCTTAGCTATTAAATAGTCTAAGCAGCTAATAAGGGGGCTACTAGTAGATAGCCTGCTTAAGGTCCTAAGGGTAGGACCCTAGAGGGGGGGGATTATATTAGGTGCCTAGAGCGGGGCCCTAGGGGGGCACTAGAGTAGGACTAGGACTAAATAAACTAGTTACTAAAGGAATAATAAAAAAGGAAAACTTTATAGAAGATAGGGGTTAGAGGAGGTATATAGGAATAATTATTATAATTAAACCCTAACTATGCCTATTACTAACTCCTTTACTTAATACTATCTCTACCTCTGATAGGTAGTAACGTATAACGTAAATAAGTAGCTGGCAGTTAAAGTTCCGGATAGTTTCATTAGCCTCAAGACATGCTGATCGAGGTCTAGAGAAAAGGTATTCCCTGCCCTGGCGACGGAGGTCAGGAGGTATACCTCCCCCCACCCTGGCTGTTGAGTCCGATGCCTATGAGTAAATCGAGAACAAGACGAAACGAAGGGCCAAAGTCAACAGCAGGCGCAGAGCAAAGAAGACGTTTCGGCTTGCAAGTGGTGAAATTGTGCTTGGTTGCCTAGCCCTGATGCCAGATTCAATTAACTATTGATCATCAGAGAGAGGGGGAGGGAATGGAGAGAGAGGGAGGGAATGGAGAGAGAGAGGCAAGCAGTGTAGGTAATTATTATACAACTATACTGGCAAGTCAGGTGATGATAGTAGACTCGTACCTATGTAGGTAGTTTGTTTATGATTACCTAATTACAGCATCTCTACGTAGTAATTATGCTTGCGCCTTCCCTTCCATTTCTAGGCAAGTTGATGAAAATAGGAAGAAGGCAGGTGACTGTGACTGACTGACTTGTGCTCCGTGCCTTCCCATCATCAACTCCTGGGTACGGACGGACGGAAAAGGGTGGGGCTATATCCTGATAATGCTGACTAATCTTGTTCCCAGCCAATTTCTGCCACACAGTGTTCTCACGTGATTTCGAAGCACTGTATGCTATCAGGACAAGTGCAAATCGCACGTGACCGTATGCTTCCCTTTACAGTGTGAACATGGCAGACATCTCTCTCACCGCCCGCCTTGCTCCAGTTCCAAACTACTAACAAAGCAAACAAGCAGAGAGACACGCGGGACGGGACGCCGGCTCGACAAACCTCCGCTCAGACCGACGGACAGGATAGATACACACACACAGAAGCGAGCCGCGTTCTGCCGCAGCCGGAGCTTCTCCGACAATCAGCCATTCGACCCAGCACCGCTCATCCCATTCGTGAAAGTCAAGGACCCCCGAGGGCGCCATCGTCGGCCCTGGGTCTTTTTTTTTTTTTTTTTCTCGAGATGTCATCGTCTCTGGCCGACCAAGACCAGCAATCGCCGCAGCACGATCAACACGATCACGACGACCACCAGCCCGATCACCCCGTCTCCGTCTCGCTTTCGCCCACTGCATCCCAGCACGCCACCGCTCACGCCTACGCCAGCAATAGCCTCCAGGTCCTCCAGGCCGCATCTGATGCAGCAGCCGCCGCCGCCATCCAGAATGTCCAGAATCATCTGACCACCGCTGCCGCTGCCGCTGCCGTCGTCGCCGATGAGCAGCAGCAGCAGCAGCAGCAGCAACAACAACAGCAGCAAACCGAGCAACAACCCGTTGACGAACAACAGCAGCAGCATCACCTCCCGATGCCCCCCTCCATCGCCGACCACGAGCAGGTACACCAACAGCAACAGCAGCATCTCCCTCCCCCTCCTCACCCCCATACACCCTCTCAGCCGCCTCATCAGCAACTGCCCCAGCACCAGCAGCATGGTCCGCATACCCCGACAGCTGCACCGACCTCGACCTCTCCTCTCGATGCCGACGACTCCCTCGCTGCCGTGTCGCACGGCGCCATGCCCGCTTTCCCTCAGGCCTTTGCGCCCATGCCTCACATGCCGCGTGACCCGACCGTCAATCCCAAGCTGACCCGTCTCAGACGGGCTTGCGACATGTGCTCCCAGCGAAAGGTCAAATGCGACGAGGCCGGCCCTCCCTGCCGCCCATGCGCCGAGCTCAACGTCGAATGCACCTTCAACCGCCAATTGAAGAGACGAGGTCCCCCGAACAAGCATGCCGAGGCTGCCAGGGCCGCTCGAAGGCAGAGGATCGAGCCCGACATGTCTCCTACCACTGCCGCCGCCGCCTTCACCTCGTACGCCGCCGCCGCCGTCACCCCGTCGCCCTCTCCTCACAACGCTGCCCAGGCTCTCGTTTCCATAGCAGAGGGTCCCGCCCGCCTGGACGCCGAGTCCATCGCCCCCTTGCCCATCCTCGAGCTCCTCATCGACGACTTCTTCACCTATATCCATCCTCTCGCCCCCTTCCCCCACGAACCCACCTTCCGGCACTCGTTTGCCAATAGGGAGGACCGCACAAACCCCGAGTTCCTCGGCTTGCTGGCCTCCATGGTTGCCACCCTTGTCGCTTCCTTCCCCCGCAGTGCCCGCCAACATCTCAAAACCCAGCACAGCACCCACCTGTTTCCGAGAGCCATCGTCATGATTGAGAGATGTCGTGACATTGCCCTCGACACGAGGGGCGCCCGCTGGCCCTTGAAGCAACCCAAGACGCTGGATGACGCCGCCACCAGTTACTTCCTAGGTCTCGCAGCCGGCTACACCTTCCAAACGAGCAGGTATCGCTACTTCCACGCCGAGTGCCTGTCGCTCATCCGCGAGCTGGGCTTCCGCCGTCCCAAGCACCCCAACGAGCTTCCTACTTTTGGCAACGACGATTGCTCCCCCGACCCTTTACCCTTTCACCACATCAAAGACCAGATCGGCAAGCGCATCTTCTGGTGTCTCTTGCTGGGCGTGAGGTGAGCCGGTCCAGGTGCATCTGAAGTGCATGATTGACGATACTGACGTCCCGCAGGTCCTTCTCACAGCTGGGCTCCTCCCATGCCGACATGGTCATCGCCCCGTCGACCCCGGGACTTCCCTATCCCGCCTTGCCCGAGGATGTCGACGATCTCTATATCATGGCCAACGAGATCGTGTACCCGCCCGAGAGCTCCGTCACCCTGTTGACCGGCTACCGGTTCGCCATCGATATCTACACCACCATGAACGCCATTGTCAGCGTAGAGCTCGTTTATGGTATGAGCACGCTGCCTTGGCTCGATCAGATGGCCTTGTTGCGGGATGCCCTCATCGCCGCCAAGGACGTTATCGACCGTTTGCCGCCCGAGCTCCAGCTGAGCGCGTCCTATGAGCAGTCGAGCGGCTTTGGCGCTTTGGACGATGCCCATCTTCCATACGTGCCCCCCGCCTACCCCAATAATCAGCCATCCAACGACGTTCGGAACGTCATCAAGAACCACCCGCAGCGCCGCCGGCAGCTCCAGTACGAGATCCAAAAGGCCAACATTTACGTTTCGCAACTGGCGACTCGCTCCTTTTACGTCGAGCTGTACTTCAACCTGCGAGACGTGCACTTGGCGAATCCGAACAAGGACGACCAGCCGCCCAAAGGCCCCGACGAGAAGGCCGCCGAGGACGCCGAGGAGGCACGCGTCTTTGAGCTGATGACGGCCGAGAGGGAGTTGATCGTCCAGAACCTGCTGCACGTGCTCGGCTCCATCTCGCAGCGTAATCTCGAACCCAACGGTGGCTCCTTGATCAACAAGATCCGCCAGGTCGCGTCGACACTGCTAAACGATACCCCTGAGCGTAAGGGTCCGGTCGCCACGAAGTCGGAGGAGGCATTGGTAAAGCTCATCGATGTCCTCCTCAAACTGGAAGGCACAGGCCCAAGTGGCAGCAGCATGGCCGGGGAGCACATGACGCCTCAGGACGAGGAAGAGGAAATGCGCAACTGGGCTCACTTGCGTGACTATCAGCAACGGTTCACGGCCCACGGTTTCACCGGGGACATTTGACAGCCGTCAATGGCATCAGTTTCTCCGAGAGGGCTCGGCGTCAGGGAGGGGACGGCGCTCTGGATATGGAGGGATGTAACGGAAGGACAGGGGCAAAATTCCGCAACAGCTCGTCGAGGACTAATGAATGTGGAACGGGGCTCGACAAGACTTTTTTTTTTTTCGTTTTTTTCCAACGCGGGCCCCTGTATAATTCTCCAAACACGACGGTCACTTCTTTGATGGAAGGGACCTGCGTATATGGTGAGGTTGATTCACGGAAGCGAAAGCGTCGTCGATGGGAGTGGACAGCAAGACCATATTGATTGAGCGCGCTTCAGCAAAAACTGCAGCTTTCCCCACGGGCGACTCCGCCCAGGAAGCCTCTTCATTATGTAGCGATGTCGTACCAGCAGCGTCGCGGAACGAACCGACTCGTCTATTCAATCTAGGAAGATTCCGCGTATTCCCAGATATGCTCCTTTACGATATCCATAATCTTCAGCTCATCGCTCTCCTTCTTGACCTCCATCACGCGCTTCTTGTACCTGTCGTTGACGAGAATCTCTTCAACACCGTCGGCGACCTGCTGTGGCGTCGGGCTGCCCGTCCTGAGGTTGTAGGCAACGCCCGCCCACTGCCCTCGCATGGCGACCTCGGGCTATGGGCACGCCGTTGGTGATGCCGTGCGTGAAGCCGCCAAACCCGGCATTCATGACCCATACATCAGCGTGCTTGCGTAGCGCGTCATAGGGAATGTAGTCTATGACCCTCGCATTGACGGGAACTGCGAATTCTTGGGGCAAGGTGGCGCCCTTGGCACCCAGGATGGCGACAACGAGGATGTCGTCGCGATGGGCAAGGCCCTGCAACGTGGGGATGATGAGGTCCGTGTACTCCATGGCAACGGTGCCCTGCGTGACTCCGACGATCTTCTTGGTGCCGGCCGTGATGTCGCTCCACCACGCCGGGTATGGGAAGTTGGGGCATCTTGCGTTGCCCCGAGCGATTTGATGATGGCGTTGTACTCTTGTCTCATCTGGTCGAACGGCCCTCCGGGTCTAAAGAACAGGCTGATGAGAAGCGCGTTCCTCGCACGACCGGACTCGGTCGAGTCGGGGGAGGAGGCCGGGCCCGAATGGGCCGGTGTCGATGCCCGCGGCGGCGACGGTGAACACGTTGGCATTAATGACGGGCGGTCTGGTAGTATAACCCTTTGGTAACGGCCCCCTGCATATCATGGGGAGGAGACCTATAAAGCAGGTTTTATAGATAATAATAACCTGCTGGTTAGGGCGTTCCGCGCGGACCTTCTCTAGGGCCCGCATCACTACAGGGAAGTTTAAGGACGCTATTACAATAAAGATGTTACGTATGTCCTAGACTATCTGAGCCTTGCCTGGGGGGACCTTGTTGCGTTCCTTAAGAAAACTAGGAGTTACAAAGGGTGGCAGCGTAACAAACTTAGCACCTATCTACTTAACCTGCAGCTAGAACTGTTTGCTAGTAAGGTAGGTCGCCTTAAACCCTTGCTAGATTATCTCTGTAGTAAGCTGTAGTATAGGGTACGTGTGGCCTAAGGCGGGCGTTAAGCAGAACACAAGGTAGGGTCGTTTCTTGCTGCCGTCACTGACGCCGTCGTTGGCCGCCGCCTCAATGCGGGCGACGGTGTCGTTTGATATCATCATAGCTTAGTTTCGAGATATTGATATTGCGAAGTTGTCGTGAACGCCAAGTGCATGAATCACTGAGATGGCGCGGACGGACCAGCACAACAGTCACCCCAAACCAAGGACAGCGCTATCGGGCTTGTTTCTATCTGTGTGAACATGTGTGATGCCTACTGGCAACCTCACAGCCTGACTCAACATACAATGGTGTCGACATAAGCCGCCTCCAGTGGGAATAGACCGAGCCTGCGTTAATTCTTCTAGCTGTATCGGAGAAGTCTAACGGCAGATTTTAGTCCATGCCGTGTGTCCCGGGCTTATCACGCCGCCATGATCCCCTTAGACCAGGGTGATGGGATGAAGGTCTATGGTGCCAACAATATGGACACACCGAAAACAGGACGGTGAGCCACGTAACGCGACCCATCCACCGTGCACCTTCACACATGTTCCCGTGGAAGGATTCGAATGGATCGTCTCCCAAGCCTTCCGGGCGGTATTATCAAATCTCATTGGCGTAGCGGATTCAGAAACGATAACCCCTCTGACCTGACAAAGCTCGCATTCGCAAAAGAAAGCAGCGACGAAGATGTTTTGAGCTTACTTGCGGCGGCTAGCCCGTCAGCACCATGTCCGACACAGTCGAAACGAGGATCAACTGGGCATAGATACTAATCATGGTTCGTTCCCCTGGCGGTCGTCACACTATCACCCCAAGAACCGAGTCGGACTAGTTTGGTGCTTGACGCTTGATGCTCCAATAATGTTGATATCTTCCCCACCATAACAAAAACGCCATTCCATAACGTCAGCGGCGCGTTCAAGAATCGCGGTGATGCCGCCTGTAGCCGTCGCAATCGAGTAAGAGTGCTGGGCGGACCGGGGATCAATAGACCCCTTTTCCTTTGCGCCCGCCTGTCCGGGCGAATAATTCCTTGAAGCTCCATTGTTTCTTTTCCGTCTCGTCCGCCGAGCCGGACGGGCTAAAGGGGGAAAACCTCGATAGTGACGACCTGGGTTTGGTCGAACCGTAGACTTCGGTTGGACGTCCTGCGACAAGCACACCGTCGGTCAGTCTCTGGTTCGATGCTGCTGCTGCCGCCGGAGCCCAGGGGAAAACGGGGCAAGAAAAAGAACTCACTGATATTCCCGGCGCCCCCGATTCCGTACCCCCTGAACTGGCGGTCCCGCACCGCCGTTTCCTTCGCGTCGTCCTCCTCGTCGGTGCAGTCGCTGCTCGCGTCGTCGAGGCTTTTCCTCCTCCGCAGGGGCGACGCGTCCGTGCTGCCGGCGACGCCTGACTCGAACCGGGGCGTCGTCGCCGGGGTCGTCGTCGCGCTCGCTGCTGCCACGACCGGGGATGGGAGCGCCGGGGCCACAGACGCTGCGGGCCGCAGGTTCGCTATGGACACGCTACGGACGACGGCGAGTCGGCCTTGAACGCGGACGCGGTGCCGGCGTTTCCGCGTGGGGATGAGCTGGTCCGCTTCGGGGTCGGGCTCGCCGGCATCATCCTGGGAGTGACGACGCTGGTTCGAGAACGGGAGCATGGTAAAATAGGATGTGTTCGTAGCGACCGAGGAAGGGGGATCGGGGCGGGGAGATGCTCGGATGCGAGCGAGCGATCGTTGATCGCGGCCGTCTACGGAACCCTCCCCCCGGATGAGCGATCAGATGAAGTCAGGATACCGAAAGTGAGCGGACGCAACAAGATGGGGATTTCGCCCTTGTCGGAAACAGTAGTTCATCCGATTGGAACGAAAGCAAGCAAAGGAGCGAAAGGTAAGCAGTGCAAGGGAGGGGGGGGGGGGGAGTGGGCATTTCCTAAGAACACATATTAACCACGGGATATGAATGATGCATCGTTTGCTGAGCTCAGCCAGCAGCCGGCCGGCCTAGTGTCTCAAAACAAAATGGGCAGCGCCATCGTATCTCAAAAGAAACAAACAACCGGTTGCTTGCTGCATTAGTTTATATGGCGAAGGAAATCCTTCTGTCAGAAACCCCCGCAAGCAAACCAGGGTTCCTTGGGCCATCGAGCCGTATGTAAGCGTAGACTCAGTCCATTGTACGTATAGGTAGCAGTGAAAAGCGAAAACGGCCCTCATTAAACCCTGCATTTGTGTCACCCTCCCTGAGCCGTCGGGTGGTGGTGTGTTGGCAGCAAGGGGAAACTCATACTGGGGGTCAGCACCCGGATTTACATCAGGGCTTTACGGCCCCGTGTTCAACCCCCTGGTAAGAGATGAGATCGGGCCGCCGGGAAAAAAAAAAAGAAAAAAAAAGGTGGCGTTTCTGGTTGGTCATCGTCAGGGGAGAGAGAGCACACGATTCAAGGACCAATGTGCAGGCGTCATCAGTTAACCATTGAGCTCTCAACCTGGAATGAAATGGAATGAATTGAACAAAGGAAGGTATATTGATATTATTATGTATTACATGATTACCAGTCTTGTGTTTGCAATAGAAACAGCCCACGGTGCGCCTCGCGCATAATAAGCCAGCGGGTCTCCGACCAAGGAATGGATAGAGGTGAGATTATAACCGTATCCAACAATTTCATTTTCGCTCAACAACGTGACATCCGGGTAAAAGAAGAAGAAAAGAAAAAAACACAGATCAAAAGAAAATAAAAGAGGGGTTTTGAGTCAGAAGATGGATTAAACTGTGACGTTGACCTCGGCGATGCCGAACAGGCGCAAGTTCAAACAGTTTACGATGGCGTCTCCCGTCAGTGACAGGCTCAGACACTGGAGGGCGGCGCCGTTGGCCAGGAGCGGGCCGAGACTGGTGACACAACTCAGCAGGTCTGCCGAGCTGACGAGGCCAACATTTATGCCGTTGCTTGCATTGACTCCCAGTTTGAGACAAGTGTCGGGCAGTGTGGTGATGCAGCTTGCCGCAGCCTGCTGTTGTATACACTGGGCGTACGATTGTGTCTTTTGTCCAAGGAGGTTGCCCACAAGACCGACAACATCACCAAGTGTACAACCTAATACACCCACGGTGTTGGTTACTGTTTGTCCTAAAGATGAGAGTAGATTGTTGAGTTCGAGCTGGCAAGTATTGAGCGCGGCCCCAATCTGGGTCGTGTCCAGCGTGATGTCGAGGAGCGAGCCGCAAGCCGCGGGAGCTTGACCACAAGCCTTGCCTGGCGTAGGACAAAGGACTGCGTTCGTAAGCCCGGCGGCCGTCGAGTTGACTGGCAGGGCGAGCCTGCTTTCGAAGCAGTTGAGAGCGGCGAGGCCACTGGTGAAGACGGTGCTTGTACAGCCCAAGGCACCTGACGCCGTCTTGGACACAATGCCTACGGTCTGGTTGAAGGCACCGAGGGCCTGGGAACAAAGCTTGACATTGGCTGTGATAACATCCTGCCCGACAGCCGTGGCGAGGCCGGCGCAAGCGGTGGGAAGTCTCGGGATACACACCTTGTTCAAGGCGGCTGTAAGACACTGGGCATGGTTGAATCCCAAGAGGTTACCAAGTAGGCTGAGTGGGAGACAGGTATCGACGCCAGGGAAATTGGCGGTCGTTCCCAGAGCGATTCTGCAGGCGTCCAAAGCGGCTTGGCTGTAGCCGAAGAGGGTCCCAGTAAGTGTCGAGCACGCAGATGGCAAAGTAGGGTTCGAAAGACAGACACCGCCCGTAGAGGCAGCGGCGGACGGCGTCGGGATACATCCCGAGGGCTGATACGTCTGTGTGCTGCGCGGGAAGGCCGTCTCCTGGAAGACCGTGTTTCCGGCGGTGGTGACCCGAGTTCCGGTAAATGTGCCAACGACGCCAGTCGTAACGGTGGTGTACGACGTACTTGATGGCAGAGCTGTTTGAGCGAGGACTGTCCTGGTGACTCCGGAACCAGAGAGGGTGACGAACGAAACTCCGGCAAAGGCGCCCGTGACTCCAGTGGGGATGGTCGTGTAGACGGGGTTTAGAACAGGCAAAGCCGTCTGGACAACCACAGTCACGATGCTGCCGGCGCCAGGGACGGTGCTTGTGACTGGCGCAGCGAGACCTGTCACGCCGCTGAACACTGTTATATACGAGGTGACAACAGGCAAGGCCGTCTGGATTACCACAGTTGCAACGCTGCCTACACCAGGGATAGTACTTGTGACAGGTGCCGCAAGTCCAGCAACGCCGCTGAAGACTGTGATATATGACGTAACAACGGGCAGAGCAGTTTGGATGACCACAGTTGCGATACTGCCGGCTCCAGGAATAGTGCTTGTGACAGGTGCCGCAAGTCCAGCAACGCCGCTGAAGACTGTGGTATATGAGGTTACAACAGGCAAAGCCGTCTGGATAACCACAGTTGCGATACTGCCGGCTCCAGGAATAGTGCTTGTGACAGGGTTTAGTAAGCCGGCAACACCACTGAAAACCGTTGTGTAGGAGGTTACGACTGGAAGGGCTGTCTGGATGACGACTGTGGCAACGCTGCCAGCCCCAGATATGGTGCTCGTCACTGGGTTGAGTAGACCAGTAACACCGCTGAAGACAGTTGTGTAAGACGTGGCAACAGGCAAGGCCGTCTGGATCACAACTGTGGCAATGCTGCCAACCCCAGGTATAGTACTGGTTATGGGATTCAGTAGGCCAGTAACACCATTGAAGACAGTCGTGTAAGATGTTATGACCGGAAGAGCAGTCTGGACAACAACAGTCGCAAGATTTCCTCCTCCGACAGCGGGGATCGTACTGGTGACTGGTCCGGTAAGACCAGTCACGCCTTGGAAGATTGTTGTATACGATGTCGCAACAGGGAGAGCAGTCTGGATGACAACAGTGGCAATGCTTCCGCTTCCGGGAATTGTGCTTGTCAATGGGTTCAGTAAACCAGTAACGCCACTGAAGACAGTGGTGTATGAGGTGATGACGGGCAGGGCGGTTTGGACAAGGACAGTTGCGAGGTTTCCACCTCCGACTGCCGGGATTGTACTGGTGACTGGTCCAGTAAGACCAGCGATGCCTTGGAAGACGGTGGTGTATGATGTAACGATGGGAAGGGCAGTCTGAATGACAACAGTCGCAAGATTCCCACTGACAGCCGGTATCGTGCTTGTGACTGGTCCAGTAAGACCAGTAACGCCTTGGAAGACGGTAGTGTATGATGTACCGATGGGAAGGGCAGTCTGGACAAGGACTGTTGCGACATTTCCTCCTCCCACGACCGGTATCGTGCTTGTAACAGGTCCAGAAAGACCAGTAACACCACTGAAGACAGTAGTGTACGAAGTGACAACCGGGAGAGCAGTCTGAATGACAACAGTCGCAAGATTTCCACTGACAGCCGGGATTGTGCTTGTGACAGGCCCAGTAAGGCCTGTAACGCCACTGAAGATTGTGGTGTAAGATGTAACAACGGGAAGGGCAGTCTGAACAACCACGGTCCCAACTGTACCGCTGACTGGAAGCGTAGAAGTGAGAGGGGCAGCCAGGCCAGTGACACCACTGAATACTGTGGTGTATGAGGTGACGAGGGGCAGAGCAGTCTGGACAAGAACGGTTGCGAGGTTTCCCCCTCCCACGGCCGGTATCGTGCTCGTGACGGGCCCAGCCAGACCAGGAATACCACTGAAGATAGTGGTGTATGAAGTGATGACTGGAAGGGCCGTCTCGATAACAACGGTTCCGACAGTGCCGGTCACCGGGAGTGTGGATGTAAGCGGGCCAGCGAGGCCGGTGACACCGCTGAACACAGTGGTGTACGAGGTAACAAGAGGCAAAGCCGACTGAACCAGGACGGTTCCGAGCGTGCCCGCGACCGGCAGAGTCGTGGTCTGCAGGCCGAGGAATGTCCCTTGCACACCGGTGAGAACTGTGGTGTACGAAGTGGCTGGTACTTCTGGCAAAGCCGTCTCCAGAAGCACGGTTCCGATGGTGCCGGACACAGGTAGTGTGGTCGCCCGTGTCCCGGCAAAGACGCCGCTGACCCCCGTAAGAATTGTTGTATATGAGGTAACTGGGTTGGGGATTGCCGTCTGGACCAACACGGTTCCGATTGTGCCAACGACAGGGAGAGTAGAGATTTGACTTCCAAGGAAGCTTGCTCCCTGGACTCCGCTGAAGATGGTTGTGTAGGAGGTGACGGGGTTGGGGATGGCGGTCTGCTGCAGAACGGTGCCGATGGTGCCGACGACTGGTAGAGTTGAGAACTGGGTGCCGATGAATGATGCCCCGAGGATGCCAGTCGGAATCGTGACATACGATGTAACTGGGTTTGGAATAGCAGTCTGTTGCAATACAGTACCAACAGTACCGACAACTGGCAAAGTCGAAAACTGGGTGCCGAGGAACGATGCCCCGAGTATACCAGTTGGGATCGTGACATACGACGTTACTGGGTTGGGAATGGCGGTCTGCTGTAGCACGGTGCCGATGGTGCCGACGACTGGCAGAGTTGAGAACTGGGTTCCGAGGAACGACGCTCCTAAGATACCAGTCGGGATTGTAACGTACGACGTAACTGGATTGGGAATAGCAGTCTGTTGCAATACAGTACCAACAGTACCGACAACTGGCAAAGTCGAGAACTGGGTTCCGAGGAACGATGCCCCCAAAATACCAGTTGGAATTGTGACATACGACGTAACTGGGTTGGGAATGGCGGTCTGCTGCAAAACAGTTCCAATAGTGCCCGAAACCGGCAGCGTTGAAAGCTGGGTTCCAAGGAAGCTGGCACCGAGAATACCAGTCGGGATTGTGACATAAGAGGTGACTGGGGCATCGGGGATGGCGGTCTCGAGAAGAACAGTTCCGATAGTGCCAATCACTGGGAGAGTTGTTGCCCTTGTACCAGGGAAGCTTACGCCACTGAGACCAGTGAGAATGGTTGTGTAGGAAGTGACTGGAGCATCAGGGATGGCAGTCTCCAAAAGGACTGTACCGATAGTTCCAATGACCGGAAGAGTTGTCGCCCTCGTCCCAGGGAAGCTCACGCCAGTGAGACCAGTGAGAATGGTCGTGTAGGAAGTGACTGGAGCATCAGGGATGGCAGTCTCCAAAAGGACTGTACCGATAGTTCCAATGACCGGAAGAGTTGTCGCCCTCGTCCCAGGGAAGCTCACGCCAGTGAGACCAGTGAGAATGGTCGTGTAGGAAGTGACTGGAGCATCAGGGATGGCAGTCTCCAAAAGAACTGTACCGATAGTTCCGATGACCGGAAGAGTGGTTGTCCTCGTTCCGGGGAAGTTGGTTCCGTTGATGCCAGTAAGAAGCGTTGTGTACAACGTCGACCCGGAGCTTGAGATTGCCGTCTGCAGAAGCACGGTGACCAGCCCTGGGTTGGTGATGGCAGCCGGCAGAGTAGTCGTTTGGGTCCCAGCAAAACTGCCAAAGACTCCGGTGACGATAGTCACGTACGAAGTGTTGATAACAGTGACTGACGGGACCGACGATGAGCTGGTGGCGGAAGGCAGAGCCGTCTGGAGCAGAACCGTGGCAACGTTGCCAGTGCCGATGACCGGCAGTGTGGTCGCCAAAGTTCCAACGAAGTTTCCAGGAATGCCCGTCAATAACGTTGTGTACGAAACATCAGGAACGGCAGTTTCAAGCAAAACGGTGGCCACTCCACCGCTTCCAATGACGGGCAAAGTGGACGTCCGTGTGCCAACGAAGGATCCAGGGACTCCGGTCAAAAGAGTCGTGTAGGAAACAACAGGAAGGGCAGTCTGGAGAAGGACAGTGACCACTCCACCGCTTCCAACAACAGGCAATGTGGATGTCTGGGTGCCGATGAAAGATCCGGGGACTCCTGTCAAAAGTGTCGTGTATGAAGCAATAGGAAGGGCAGTCTGGAGGAGGACAGTTGCCACATTTCCAGAGCCAACGACAGGCAGCGTGGTGGTTTGAGTACCGACGAAGTTACCAGCGATACCAGTGATTTGAGTCGTGAACGAAAGGCTCGTGGTAGGTATGGGGGTCTGCAAAACGACGGTACCAAGACCATCGGCTCCGGTGCCGGGCAGGGTTGTCGTTTGGGTTCCAATGAAGCTGCCGACGATGCCACTGAAAACGGTAGTGTACGATGTAGCCGCTGGAAGTGCCGTCTGCAAAAGAACGGTTCCAATGCCGTTGATCCCAGTACCGGGTAGGGTGGTTGTTTGAGTGCCAGGGAAGTTTCCAACGATACCACTGAAGATTGTTGTATAGGACGTAGCTGCTGGAAGTGCCGTCTGCAAAAGAACGGTCTCGAGGCCGTTGATACCGGTTCCAGGTAGAGTAGTTGTCTGCGTTCCAACAAAGTTCCCAATGATACCAGTAACAATGGTTGTGTAGGAAGCCGCAGTAGTCGTGGGAATAGCCGTCTGCAAGACGACCGTACCAAGACCATTAATGCCAGTTCCTGGCAAGGTTGTGGTTTGAGTACCAGTAAAACTGCCCAAAATGCCGCTAACGATGGTTGTGTATGAGGCTGCTGTGGCTGTGGGAAGCGCTGTCTGTAAGAGAACCGTCCCGAGGCCGTCAGCTCCAGTGCCCGGCAGGGTCGTGGTCTGAGTGCCGATGAAAGAGCCCGGAATGCCGGTGACCAGAGTTGTGTATGAAGCTGCCGCGGGAATGGCCGTCTCGAGAAGCACGGTAGCCAAGCCATCGGGGCCAACGCCCGGAAGGGTCGTGGCCCGCGTTCCGGTAAAGCTTCCAACGATACCAGAAACAACGGTGGTATATGAAATGGCGCTCGTTGGGGGAATTGCAGTCTGCAGAAGGACTGTGGCCGTATTGCCGAGCCCGAACCCTGGGATGGAAGATATGGGCAAAGTGCTCGTCTGAGTTCCGGCAAAAGTACCAAAGACACCAGTGACAATGGTGATGTAGGTGATGCTGACGCTGACGCTGGGAGTTGCTGTAGGAATAGCGGTCTGTAGAAGAACCGTGCCGATGCTGCCGACGCTTATCGGGAGTGTGGTTGCCTGTGTGCCAATGAACGATCCCGGGATACCGGTCAAAATCGTCGTGTAAGAGACAACGGGGCTGGGCGAGGCCAGAGCAGTCTCCAAGAGAACAGTGCCAACAGTGCCGCCGACGATGGGCAGAGTGGTCGTCTGAGTGCCAACGAAGGAGCCGATAACTCCAGTCAAAATGGTAGTATATGCGACACCAGAGCTGCTTGAAGTTGGCGTTGGAACAGCCGTCTGGAAGATGACCGTGGCGATGCCATCGGTTCCCACGGGGAGTGTTGTAGCTTGAGTGCCAGCGAAAGTTCCGGGCACCCCAGTAAGAATCGTGATATATGAGGTGGGACTTGCTGTTGGGAGGGCAGTCTGAATAAGAACGGTTGCCAAGCCATCCGCACCAGCTGGTAGCGTAGTTGTTTGTGAGCCCAAGAACGATCCTGGGATCCCGGTAAGCAGGGTTGTATACGCCACAGGACTTGAGGTTGGAAGCGCTGTTTGAATAAGAACAGTCGCAACCCCATTGAGACCGGCAGGCAGCGTTGAAGTTAGCGAGCCGATGAATGTGCCTGGGATACCAGTGACTAAAGTGGTATACGAGGTAGGGCTGGCCGTGGGTAGGGCACTTTGGACAAGAACAGTTGCGATGCCGTTGGAACCGACCGGCAAGGTGGATGTCTGCAAGCCCAAGAAGTTCCCTGGGATGCCAGTGAACAAAGTGGTATAAGACGTCGGGCTTGCTGTAGGTAGGGCACTCTGGATGAGAACAGTTGCGATGCCATTGATCCCAGCAGGCAGCGTTGATGTTTGCAAGCCGAGGAATGTGCCCGGAATACCAGTGACCAAGGTGGTATATGATGTCGGGCTGGCCGTGGGTAGGGCACTTTGGACAAGAACAGTTGCGATGCCGTTGAGACCGACCGGCAAGGTGGATGTCTGCAAGCCCAAGAAGTTCCCTGGGATGCCAGTGAACAAAGTGGTATAAGACGTTAGGCTTGCTGTAGGTAGGGCACTCTGGATGAGAACAGTTGCGATGCCGTTGGGACCGACCGGCAAGGTGGATGTCTGCAAGCCCAAGAAGTTCCCTAGGATGCCAGTGAACAAAGTGGTATAAGACGTTGGGCTTACTGTAGGTAGGGCACTCTGGATGAGAACAGTGGCGATGCCGTTGGGACCGACTGGCAAGGTGGATGTCTGTAAGCCTAAGAATGTCCCTGCGATGCCAGTCAAGAGCGTGGTGTATGATGCGGGGGATGCTGTAGACAATGCGGTTTGGATAACAACAGTAGCGATACCATCAAGGCCAGCTGGGAGAGTTGTTGTCTGGCTACCAAGGAATGTGCCAGGAACTCCGCTTATCACTGTTGTGTAAGATGACGGGAGAGCGGTTGGTAGAGCAGTTTGCACAAGGACCGTTGCGATTCCGTCTGGTCCAGCAGGCAAGGTTGTAATCTGTGATCCGATAAAGGTACCCGGAATGCCACTGAACAAGGTGGTATATGACGTCGGGCTTGCTGTTGGCAAAGCAGTCTGAACGATCACAGTGGCGATTCCGTTAGGACCAGCGGGAAGCGTACTTGTTAAGGACCCAATGAAGGTGCCAGGGATTCCGGTGAAGAGAGTCGTGAACAACGTCGGGCTGGTGCTTGGCAGAGGAGTCTCGATGAGGACAGTTCCAAGGCCGTCTAGGCCAACTGGCAAGGTGCTCGTCCGCGACGCAACTAGACCTGGGATGCCACTAAATAAAGTAGTATACGAAGTTGGACTGGCTGTTGGCAGAGCAGACTGGATAAGGACAGTCGCGACTCCATCCGGCCCGGCCGGTAAAGTGCTCGTTTGCGGCCCGAGCAGACCGGGAACACCACTGAATAAGGTGGTATACGATGTTGCACTTGCAGTTGGCAAGGAGGTCTGGATAAGAACAGTTGCAACCCCGTCAGGGCCAACTGGTAAAGTGGTTGTCTGTGGCCCAAGCAAGCCCGGAATACCGCTGAAGATTGTGGTGTACGAAGTCGGGCTTGCGGTTGGCAAAGCGGTCTGGATGACAACAGTGGCAACGCCATTGCTTCCGGCTGGAAGAGTGCTCGTCTGTGGTCCGAGCAAGCCAGGAATACCGCTGAAGATGGTGGTGTATGAAGTTGGACTCGCGGTTGGCAAAGCGGTCTGGATCAAAATGGTAGCGACACCATTGCTTCCAACTGGTAGAGTAGTCGTCTGAGCTCCGATGAAGGTGCCAGGGATACCAGTGACGATAGTGGTGAATGCGGCTGGGCTTGTAGTAGGGAGGGCACTCTGAATAAGCACCGTCGCGATTCCGTCTGGTCCAGCTGGGAGGGTACTGGTAAGCAGCCCAGGGAAGTTTCCAGGAACACCTGTAAGGAGAGTCGTGTACGAGACGCCGGACGTTGGGATTGCGCTTTGAACAAGCACAGTGACAAGTCCGTCCGGACCAGCAGGCAAGGTTCTGGTTTGAGGACCAACGAAGGTGCCGGAGACCGGAGAAAACACAGTTGTGAAAGAAACGCCAGACGTCGGAATCGCGCTTTGAACAAGCACAGTAGCCAATCCGTCAGGGCCAGCAGGCAGAGTCGTGGTTTGAGATCCGATGAAGGTGCCAGGTACCCCAGAGAACAATGTCGTGTAAGAGACACCAGATGTTGGAAGGGCGCTCTGAACAACAACAGTGACAAGGCCGTCAGGGCCAGCAGGCAAAGTCGTGGTTTGAGGCCCAATGAAAGTCCCTGGGACCCCGGAGAAAACTGTTGTATAAGAGACGCCGGATGTAGGTAGTGCACTTTGAACAACAACCGTAGCGATGCCATCAAGGCCAGCTGGTAGGGTGGTAGTCTGAGGGCCGGCAAATGTTCCAGGCACTCCTGAGAAGATTGTTGTATAGGAAGTTGGGCTTGCGGTTGGCAGAGCGCTCTGGACAAGGACCGTGATAAGACCGTTGGGGCCGGCGGGCAAAGTAGTGGTCTGAGGTCCGATGAAAGTGCCAGGCACACCAGAGAATACTGTAGTGTAGGAAACTCCCGATGTAGGAAGAGCACTTTGAACAACAACCGTAGCAATACCATCAAGGCCGGCAGGCAATGTAGTCGTCTGAGACCCGACGAACGTCCCAGGCACTCCTGAGAAGATTGTCGTATAGGAAGTTGGGCTTGCGGTTGGCAGAGCACTCTGTACAAGGACTGTCGCGATGCCATCAGGGCCAGCTGGCAGGGTAGTTGTCTGAAGCCCGGCAAAAGTACCAGGAACTCCAGAGGCAATCGTCGTGTACGAGACCGGGCTTGCGGTTGGCAGAGCAGTCTGGAGGAGGACAGTCACGATGCCATTGGTACCCGCGGGCAAAGTTGTTGCTTGAGTTCCAATAAAGGTTCCAGGCACTCCGGACAAGATGGTGGTGAACGAGACGCTCTGAGAAGGAACGGCACTTTGGACAAGGACGGTAGCCAAACCGTTGGGTCCTGCCGGCAAGGTTGTGGTCTGAAGACCAACAAAGCTTCCAATGATTCCAGTTGCGATGGTTGTGTACGAGACAGCGCTGGGGCTGGAGGTGGCATCGGGACTGGAGGTGGCATCGGGACTGGAAGTGGCATCGGGGTCGGCAGTCTGCTCAAGTACCGTCGCGTATCCGTCAGGCCCAGGAGGAAGCGTCGTCGTCTGCGTTCCAGTGAAAGTGCCAGGAACACCAGTGGTCACGGTGGTGTACGAGCTGCCGCTGGAAGCCGTTGTCGTGGCACCGGCCTCGGTGGAAGGCACGAAGACGATGACAGACACGTCTGCACTAATGTTGACATCGATGGACGTTGTGAAGCGAATGCTTCCACCGTAAGTAGATGTGACCGTGGTGATGCCGCGACTCGAGACCGATGCTGATGAAGCGGTGGGGCTAACGGTAGGAGTCTGGATGACAACCGTCTGGACGCCGGCAGAGTCGGCCGCTGAGAGGGTAAAGGTCGACGCGACCGGGCCACCAGATGTGACGGTGACGAATCCGCCGGGGCTTGCCGAGATCGTCGGCGTCTGCACAATGACAGTGCCAACTCCGCCGATGATCGCAGGGAGAATCGTGCTCGTTGCGGCGACCGGCCCACCAGTGGTGATGGTGGTGAAGGAGCCTGCCAGTAGGCTGGAGGTGGGCTCTGATACGATGACTGACACCACTCCGTTGGCTCCGGTGATGATGGAAGTCACCGGGAGGGCTCCGGTACCGGGCACTGTTGTGAAGACGGTGGTGAGCGCGACGGAACTCTGGCCAGAAGATGTCGGCTCGAGGTAGATGACGGAAACGACGCCATCCAGGCCGGTGACTGTTGTAGTTGCCGGTAGAGCGGCGGACCCAGGAACTGTTGTGAAAACCGTAGTCGGTGCTCCAGCGGTGCTTGAGGTTACACCTCCAGAAGCGCTGGTGCTGGAAGTCGGGGTCTCGAGAATAACAGACACCACACCATCCGCTCCGGTGACTGTTGTAGCCTGGGGAAGGAGACCGGTGCCAGGAACCGTAGTAAAGACAGTTGAAAGTACCTGTCCAGATGTAGTAGGAGTCTGTAGGATGACAGAGACAATGCCATCGGCTCCAGTAACAGTCGTAGTCTGGGGTAGGAGGCCAGTACCAGGGGCTGTAGTGAAGATGGTCGATAGTGCCTGTCCGGAAGTGGCGGGAGTCTGTAAGATAACAGATACAACACCATCGGCGCCGGTGACGGTCGTGGTCTGGGGCAGAAGGCCGGTGCCAGGAACTGTGGTGAAGACAGTGGACCTCAGAATGCTAGAGACGGGAGTCTGCACAATGACGGAAACAACTCCGTCTGCGCCAGTAACCGTCGCTGTGGTCGGGATAGATCCCGTGGCCGGGACGGTCGTAAAGACGGTAGACGGAGTGCCGGACAGAGAGCCAACGGTAGGAGTCTGGATTATGACCAGGCCAATGCCGTTGGGATCCGTAGGCAACACGGTCGTGGTCGTCGGAAGAAGACCGGAGTATCCACTGGTGACCGTCGAGAAGACGCCGGGAACATCGATGACAACCGTCGCCGGCAGGCCGCTGCTCAAAGCAGGGATTGTAGTAGTGCCCGCGGAGGGTGCACCGAAACGCGTGGTGGTGATCTGGGCCAAGGCGGCAGGCACCTGGACAAGAACTGTAGTCAGATCTCCTGGCTGGATTGGGCTGCCGGTTGATGTCAGAGTGACCGAGCCGGGGTATGTGCTGAAGACGGTGGTGATACCGCTGGCTCCAGGTGAAGACGATATGACGGACGTAGGAACTTGGATTAGGACAGTCTGAACGCCATCGGGCTCAACAGGCAGGGTCGTGGTGGCCGTGACTGAAAGACCCGGGACACCAACCGTGGCAAACCTGAGGACTCGGGGAACGGCAACGAGCACAGTCACAAGATTGGCATTGCCGGATGGAGCAAGCGTCGAGATCTGAGTCGTGGATGCCGTGACGAACGTGGTGATAGTCGTATAGGTGGTACCATCCGAGATGCTGAGCGAGGGCGTGCTTGAAGCAACATTGGTCGGGATCTGAACAAAAATGGTACCAGGGAGACCAGAGGCAGCTGGCGCAACGGTCTGCGACAGGGTGACTGAACCATCGTAGGTGGTCGTGACTGTGATGTACGAGATGATAGACTGCGTGACCGAAGTTGCAGAAGTGGCCGCCGACGTGGGAGTTTGGATGACAACCGTGGCCAGCCCGTCTGGACCGGTCGCGGTTCCAATAAGTGTCTGGAGGAGGCTTCCGCTGTAACCACTCGTAACAGTTGTGTATGAAAGATTTGGGAGCGTCGTGGATGCCGAAGGCACAACGGTAGTTGAGCCGGTCGGAACTTGAACAACGGCTGTGGCAAGCCCGTCTGCTCCGGTGACGGTGCCGAGCAAGGTCTGGAGCAACGATCCGTCATACCCGCTGGTGACCGTGGTGTAGGACAGCGGCGCCGTGACGGAGGGGACAGAAACGACCGAGGAAGTTGGTACTTGGACCAACACAGTTGCGAGGCCGTCTGCTCCAGTGGCCGTGCCGATAAGAGTCTGGAGAAGCGATCCGCCATATCCACTGGTAACTGTGGTATATGGTAGGCCAGAGACAGTCGTCGTCGGCGAGGTGATGGCTGCCGTGGGTGTTTGAATGAGCACCGTGGCAAGGCCATCAAGACCAGTTGCGGTGCCAATGAGCGTTTGAAGCAAAGAGCCGTCATACCCGGAGGTGACAGTGGTGTACGATAGACCAGGAACGGTTGACGATGGCAGAGAAGTGGCCGCAGTGGGTGTTTGTACAACAACTGTAGCCAGACCGTCAAGTCCAGTTGCAGTTCCAATGAGCGTTTGAAGCAAAGAGCCGTCATACCCAGAGGTAACAGTGGTGTACGATAGACCAGGAACGGTTGACGATGGCAGAGAAGTGGCCGCAGTGGGTGTTTGTACAACAACTGTAGCCAGACCGTCAAGTCCAGTTGCAGTTCCAATGAGCGTTTGAAGCAAAGAGCCGTCATACCCGGAGGTGACAGTGGTGTACGATACACCTGGGACTGTGCTCGGTGTCTGTACGACGACAGTTGCAAGACCATCGGCGCCCGTGGCGGTGCCGATAAGTGTCTGGAGTAAAGAGCCACCGTAGCCACTTGTGACGGTTGTGTAAGAGAGACTAGAGACAGCTGAAGGCGAGGAAATGCCCGAGGTGGGGGTCTGGATTACAACCGTGGCCAAGCCGTCCAGACCAGTGGCAGTGCCGACAAGTGTCTGGAGAACGGAACCATCATAGCCACTTGTAATTGTCGTATACGAGATACCAGAGACAGATGAAGCCGAAGGGGTGCTTTCGGTGGGAGTTGCAGTGGGTACCTGAACAACAACCGTGGCCAAACCGCCGGGACCAGTGGCAGTACCGATAAGTGTTTGAAGCAAAGACCCGTCATAACCACTTGTAACTGTTGTATACGAGACATCAGGGACAGATGATGGTGAAGATATGCTTGCGGTGGGAGTCTGGATAACAACCGTAGCCAGGCCATCAAGGCCAGTGACAGTGCCGATAATCGTCTGGAGAACGGAACCATCGTAGCCACTTGTGACTGTTGTATAAGAGACACCAGAGGTAGACGAGGGCGAAGTAATTCCTGCAGTAGGTGTCTGCACAATGACCGTTGCCAGCCCGTCAATCCCGGTTAAGGATCCAGTAAGCGTCTGAACGAGTGATCCATCGTACCCGCTTGTAACGGTGGTGTACGAAATGCCAGAAACAGACGAGGGCGAAGTGATGCTTGCGGTGGGAGTCTGGATGAGAACAGTAGCTAGCCCGTCGATGCCGGTTATAGATTCAGTAAGAGTCTGCACAACTGACCCATCGTAGCCGCTTGTGACGGTGGTGTATAAGAGGCCAGGCAGGACTGTTGAAGTTGGGGTCTGGATAACAACAGTGGCTAGTCCATCAATACCAGTCGAGGATCCAACGAGAGTCTGGACGACCGCTCCGTCGTAACCACTCGTAACTGTGGTGTACGAAATGCCAGAAACAGACGAGGGCGAAGTGATGCTTGCGGTGGGAGTCTGGATGACAACAGTAGCTAGTCCGTCGATGCCGGTTATAGATTCAGTAAGAGTCTGCACAACTGACCCATCGTAGCCGCTTGTGACGGTGGTGTATAAGAGGCCAGGCAGGACTGTTGAAGTTGGGGTCTGGATAACAACAGTGGCTAGTCCATCAATACCAGTCGAGGATCCAACGAGAGTCTGGACGACCGATCCGTCGTAACCACTCGTAACTGTGGTGTACGAAAGGCCGGGAATGGATGAGGGCGAAGTGATGCTTTCGGTGGGCGTCTGGATAACAACGGTAGCCAGTCCATCAATTCCGGTAGATGATCCGATGATAGTCTGGACCACTGATCCACTGTAACCACTTGTGACTGTTGTATACGCGAGGCCAGGCAATCCTGTCGCGGTCGGTGTTTGAATGACAACAGTAGCCAACCCATCAATTCCAGTAGACGATCCGGTGAGAGTCTGAACCACTGATCCGTCATAGCCACTCGTTACTGTGGTATACGCAAGACCAGGGATTGATGACGGCGAAGCTGGTGATGGCGAAAGGGTGGCAGCAGTAGGAGTCTGAATAACCACCGTAGCCAGCCCGTCGATACCTGTAGATGATCCGATAAGAGTCTGCACTACTGACCCATCATATCCGCTTGTCACAGTAGTATATGAGAGACCAGGTATGGTTGAAGGCGAAGCTGATGAGGGTGAAGAAATGCTTGCAGTAGGTGTCTGGACAATAACAGTAGCCAGCCCGTCGGTGCCTGTAGATGACCCGATCAGAGTCTGCACGACTGACCCATCATATCCGCTTGTCACAGTAGTATATGAGAGACCAGGTATGGTTGAAGGCGAAGCTGATGAGGGTGAAGAAATGCTTGCAGTGGGTGTCTGGACAACAACAGTAGCCAGACCGTCGATACCGGTGGATGACCCGATCAGAGTCTGGACGACCGATCCGTCGTATCCGCTGGTCACGGTGGTATAAGAAAGACCGGGCAGAACTGTCGCGGTGGGGGTCTGAACGACTACAGTTACGAGGCCGTCAACCCCGGTAACCGAGCCCGTAGAAGTGGCAATGATGGACCCGCCATACCCAGAGGTGATGGTAACGAAGAACCCAGGGCTACTGGTGGCAATCGGCGAGGAGATGGCGGTTGGCGACAAGACGAGGACGGTGACCAAGCCATCGGCGCCCGTGAGGATGCCTGTCTGTGTTGTGACGACTGACCCAGGGTAGCCGCTGGTCAGAGTCGTATACTGACCGTCCAGAGCGCTCGTGGCACTCGGAACTTGGACGAGAACCGTTTGAACCGGAGAACCGTCGACAGTGCCCAGGGGCAGGCTCGTGGTCTGAGTGACGGACCCGGCGTAGCCGCTGGTGACGGTGGTAAACAAGATGCCGTTCGCAACAGAGGCGGTAGGGACTTGCACAAGAACCGTCTGCACCGGAGATCCGCCGACAGTCCCCAGCGGGAGGCTCGAGGTAAGGGTGGTGGAGCCATCATAGCCACTCGTGACAGTCGTGTACAGGATGCCGCTGGCCAGGGTTGGATCGGGCACTTGCACGACGACGGTGCCAGGCTCTCCGCTGTTGACCGGCGGGATCGTGGTCGTCAAGGGAACAAGGCCGGTGAAGCCACTGCTCGTGACCGTCACGTAAGAGGCGGCTTGTACGTCGATTAAGCTTGAGGGGACCTGAACAAGTACAGTTCCCAAGTCTCCAGGAGCGCCAGGGGCAATGGTCGTGGTTTGGGGGACCAGCCCGGTGAACCCACTGGTGATGGTGGTGTAAGGGATGCTGGAAGAGGCGGTGAGAGGAACTTGAATAATAACCGTACCAGTGCTGTCTCCGATCGCGGGGTCAAGCGTGGTCGTCTCGGGGATAGAGCCAGAGAAGAAGCTGACGATGGTAGTGTAGACGATGCTGACGCTATTCGCCGGGCTCGACGTTGCCAGGACGTTGGGAAGATTGACAATGACAGTGCCAAGGCCAATGGGGTCGCCGCTGAACGGTTCAATCGTCCTCGTGGCAGCTTCAGCTCCGGTTCCAGTGCTGAAGATAGTGGTGTAGGATCGACTCGACAATCCCGTGGCGTCGGTTTGTGACAGTGCCGACTCGGGAACCTGGACAACCACGGTGCCGATACTTGCGATATCACTAGGATCAGGTAGAAGCGTTGTTGTCTGAATAACAGAGCCAGTGTATGCACTTGTGACAGTGGTAAAGATGCCAGGCAGGACGCCAGCACTCAAACCAGCGCTCAAACTTGGCGTGAGGTTGGTGAGTGACAGTGCCGACTCAGGAACCTGAACAACAACAGTGCCAATACTTGAGATATCGCTAGGATCAGGGAGAAGTGTTGTTATCTGAGTAACAGAGCCAGCATATCCACTTGTGACAGTAGTGAAGGTGGCGGGCAGGATGCCAGCACTTGAACCAGCGCTCGAACTTGGCGTGAGGTCGGTGAGTGACGGTGTGTTGCTATCAATCGCTGACTGGGGAACCTGGACAACAACAGTGCCAATGCTTACAATATCGCTAGGGTCAGGGAGAAGTGTTGTTGTCTGAGTAACAGAGCCAGCATATCCACTTGTGACAGTAGTGAAGGTGGCGGGCAGGATGCTACCACTTAAACCACCGCTCGAACTTGGCGTGAGGTCGGTGAGTGACGGTGTGTTGCTATCAATCGCTGACTGGGGAACCTGGACAACAACAGTGCCGATGCTTGAGATATCGCTAGGGTCAGGGAGAATTGTTGTTGTCTGAGTAATAGAGCCAGTATATCCGCTTGTGATAGTTGTGAAGATGGCGGGCAGGATACCAGCACTTGAACCGGCACCCGAACCGGCGCTCGAACTTTGAGTGAGATCAGTAAGTGACTGAGGAACCTGCACAACCACGGTGCCAATGCTGGCTATATCGCTAGGATCAGGGAGAAGTGTCGTTGTCTGAGTGATAGAGCCAGCATATCCGCTTGTGACAGTCGTAAAGATGCCTGGCAGGACTCCAGCACTCGAACTTAGCGCGGGTGACAGTACTGACTGAGGAACCTGAACAACCACGGTGCCGATGCTGGCGATATCGCTAGGATCAGGAAGAAGCGTCGTTGTCTGAGTAACAGAGCCAGCATATCCGCTTGTGACAGTGGTGAAGATGGCGGGCAGGATGCCAGCACTTGAACCAGCACCCGAACCGGCGCTCGAACTTGGAGTGAGGTCGGTGGGCAGCAGCTGTGAGGATGCCGTAGAAGAAGGCTCGAAAATGATGACGGTACCAACAGTGTCAGCACCCGAGGGCGCGGCTGTTGAGATGGAAAGCACCGCGCCGGTGTAGGTGCTGGTGATAGTGGTATACGACGAGACCCCTGGGATAGAGACGCTCGAAGCCGGGACGAGCAGGACGACCGTTCCGACAGTATCGGCGCCGGAGGGTGCCTGAGTCGACGTCGCCAGCAGAGACCCGGCGTAAGTGCTGATGATGGTCGTGTACGATACCGTGACGCTGGACGCCGCAGAACCTGTTGGCTCCAGAATAACAACAGTGCCAATGGCGCCGGCGCCCGTAGGCAGGATCGTGGACGTGGCAACGACCGGGCCAGCATATCCGCTGGTGACGGTAGTGAATAGGCTGGCGTCGGATGCCGCGGTGGACTGGATGGGCTGCAACACGACCACTGTGCCCGGCTGCCCAGAGACTGACGGCAAGATGGTGGAAGTCAAGGCCGATAAGCCGGTGTACGGGCTGGTGATGGTGGTGAAGGAAATGTCCGCGGACGAGATGGGCTCGAGGAGGACGACGATGCCGACGGTATCGCTTCCAGTTGGGAAGACGGTGGTCGCGGATGGTATCACGCCTGAGTACGCGCTGGTAACGGTCACGAAGCTGACGGAGGCCGTATTCGTGGGAACCAGGATGATGACGGCGCCAATCGACTCCGTGCCGGTGGGCAAGATGGTCGATGTCGCCGTCGTCAAGCCAGAATATCCGCTAGTAGCGGTGATGAAGAGACCAGGAAGAGCACTGGCAGCAGAGGCGGGCTGGAGAATGATCACGGTGCCAAGGTCGTCAGTGCCAGTAGGCAAGATGGTGGTCGCCGTAGGAACCAAACCACTGTAAGTGCCGGTGATGGTGGCGAACGACAAGATTCGGGAGGCCGTTGGAACATACACTACAGTCCGCTCAGGCTCACCCAAGGAACCGGTAGGAATAATAGAAGTAAACGTGACAGATCCGTCGTATGTGCTAGTGAGAATGTTGGGAAGCGCCCCTGATGGCGATATCACTGCGCCTGTGGGACTTGGAACAAACACCACAGTCTGCTCAGGTTCGCCTAGAGAACCAGTAGGGATGACAGAAGTAAAGGTAACAGATCCTCCGTATGTGCTGGTGAGAATGTTGGGAAGCGCCCCTGATGGCGATACCACTGCGCCTGTGGGACTTGGAACAAACACCACAGTCTGTCCAGGTTCGCCGAGAGAACCAGTAGCAATAATCGAAGTAAGTGTAACGGATCCATCGTAAGTGCTAGTGAGAATGTTGGGAAGCACCTCTGACGGCGATGCCACTGCGTCTGTGAGACTTGGAACAAACACCACAGTCTGCTCAGGTTCACCTAGAGAACCAGTAGGGATGACAGAAGTAAAGGTAACAGATCCTCCGTATGTGCTGGTCAGAACGTTGGGCAGCGCTGCTGACGGGGATGCAATCACACCCGTGGGGCTTGGAACAAACACTACTGTCTGTCCAGAATCGCCTAAAGAACCAGTGGGAATAACAGAAGTAAGCGTGATTGATCCTCCGTATGTGCTGGTCAAGATGTTGGGCAACGCTGCTGAGGGTGACACCACAGCGCCAGTTTGGCTTGGGACAAAAACAACCGTCTGTTCGGGCTGTCCTAGGGAGCCACTAGGAATAACAGAAGTCAACGTGACAGAGCCTCCGTATGTGCTGGTCAAGATGTTGGGAAGTACTGCTGAGGGTGACACCACAGCGCCAGTTGGGCTTGGGACGAAAACGACCGTCTGTTCAGGTTCTCCAAGAGAACCAGTGGGAATAACAGAAGTAAACGTGATTGATCCTCCGTATGTGCTGGTCAAGACATTCTGTAAAGCCGAAGTGGCAGAAGGGCTCGGGATATAGATGATCGTAGCTCCAGGCTGACCCAGGAGCCCCGTTGATAAGACAGAGGTGGAAGTGACAGAGCCGCCGTAGAAGCTTGTGAATAAACCGCCCACATCGGTGGCGGTGGGAGAGGGCGCCGCAGTGATGGTAGGGATGTAGACAATCGTGGCTCCCGATCCGCCGGCCAATCCGGAAGGCAAAGTGGAAGTGAAGGTGACTGAGCCGTCGTAGAAGCTCGTGAACAGCCCACCAGCAGGCAAGTCAGTAATCGTTGCAGTCGGAGCAACCGTGCTGCTAGGAACATAGATGACGGTGATACCAGGCTCGCCCGAGGGGCCACTGGGGACAACGGACGTCAACGTGACCGAGCCACCGTACGTGCTCGTGTAGAGGCCAGCGGCCAACGCCGAAGTGGTTCCAGAGGGCGTCACCCCGGTGGCTGCGTCAGTCGAGCTTGGGAGTAGAACAACGACGGTTGTTACGTCGTTCGCGTTGACCGGGGCCAGTGTGCTCGTCAATGGGACCAGGCCAGAGTACGTGGATACCAGAGTCGTGAGTAGGTTATTCGCGACAGGGGCCGAAGAAATGATACTGCTAGGAACATAGACCACGGCAGTTGCGGGGTCCCCGGGGCTAGCCGGCGACGTGATGGCCGTCGAGATGACGGATCCGCCGTATGTCGACGTGATCGTGACGATAGTAGCGCTTGGGGTAATGGCAGGAGACGCCAACGCGTTGCTCGGAACGAGAACAACAACGGTGCCGGTTACATCGTTGCCAGAGGGCAGTAGGGTCTGGAACGAAGTAACAGAGCCCCCGTAGCTGGAGGTAAGAGTCGCAAAAGCCGCGGACGGGGCGATGGTCGGGCTTGTGACGGTCGACGCGCCAGCGGAACTGCTCGGAACCAGGACCACAAGGGTGCCCTGAGTATCTGACCCTGAGGGCAAAATGGTCGAGGTCGAAATGACAGAGCCCCCATAAGTGGAGGTAATGATTGCCAAAACCGCAGACGGAACGCTGCCTGAGCTTGTAACAGGGGAAGCGCCGGCGCTGGCAGAACTGCTCGGAACCAGGACAACAAGGGTGCCTTGGGTACCCGATCCCGAAGGAAGAATGGTCGACGTCGAGATGACAGAGCCCCCGTAAGTAGAGGTAATAATCGCCAAACCCGCAGACGGAGCGCTGCCGGGGTCCGTAACGCTTGTTGGGCTTGTGACGCCTGTTGGGCTTGCAGCGGACGATACTCCGGCGCCGACGGAACTGCTCGGAACCAGGACGATAAGAGTACCCTGAGTGGCCCCCGGAGAGAGGAGCGTCGAGATCGAAGTCACCGAGCCTCCGTAGGTGCTGATGAGCGTCGCAAAGCCGACATTTGCCGTTGAGGTCACGGCAGGCCCAGCGGTCGAGACAGCGGTAGATGCATCAGCCGGTGCCGTAGTAGACCCACCAGTCGAGCTTGGTACCAAGATGATAACGGTGCCCTGGGTGTCGGTTCCGGTGGGAGCAATGGTCGTGGTCGTCGGAGTAGAGCCGGAGTAAGTGCTGATAAGCGTGGCGAACGCTGCGGATGAGGCCGGAGATGGCGTTGTCGTGGCTTCTGAGCTAGGCAAGATGTTGGAGGAAGTCGAACTTGACGACACCGCGTCGAAAGGTGTGTAGTAAATGACCATGCCGATGGTCTCCGTGCCGCTGATAATGGGTGAGGTTGTCGTGGAAAAGCCAGTCGCTGAGTAGCCGGTGGTGCTGGAGAGGAATCGTGCGAATCTGGGCTGGACCACAAACACGGTTCCCACGGACTGAGTTCCCGTGGGGAACTCAGTCGATGTTGTTGCTCCCGTGGAGTCCCAGAGTAAAGTAGTCGTGACGAAGCTGGCGCCGCTGGGAGCAGGGGTCGTCGAAGCAGATGCCGTGGGTGTCTGAATGATGACAATGCCGACTGATGCTGTGCCTGTGGGGAACAACGTCGTCGTCTGAGTTCCGACACCACCGTAGCCGGAAGATACTGTGATAAACTGGGTGACGGACGGGGCTGGTGCGGAAGAACCCTGGGCTGATGAGATGCCTGCCTGGGTAGGAACCTCGACAAGGACAACACCAAGAGCCTCAGTGCCGCTCTGAGGCAACGTAGTCGTGCGAGTAACGACGCCAGAGTACGGCGATGTGACTGTGATGTAGCCGGTGACAGACGCCACCACACGGCCAGACTCGGTAGGAGTCTGGATGAGAACGAGACCAACGCTGTTGGTGCCTGTTGGCAGGACAGTAGTGGTCTGCGTTCCGACACCCCCGTAACCGGTAGAGACGGTGATGAAAGAAAGAGTAGGGGCTGTCGGAGCGCTGGTGGGCGCGAGGAGGTCTGACTGAGGCGTCTGGACAATGACGGCGCCGACGCTGCTCGTTCCCGAAGGGAAGATGGTGACGGTGGTTGGCACAGAGCCCGTGTAGCCCACGGTGGTGGTGACAAAGGCCACGCCAGACGTAGGGAACGGCGTCTGGATAAGGACCGTCGTAGGATCTCCGCTGAATGCGGGTGCCAAAGTCGTCGTCGCCAATACAGAACCGAAGAAACCCGTAGTGCGGGTGACGACCGAAGCCGGAGCAACGGCGGCGGAGGGATCTTGGACAATGACTGTCGCCACACCGTTGGGATCGGTGCTTGCGGGTGGGAGAGTGAAAGTGGTAAGCACCGATCCAGGAATAGTGGTAGTGACGAACGACGTCGCCGAGACGGTGTTGGTTGTGCTCTGACCAAGGGAGAAAGGCGTCTGAATAAGGATCGTGCCCGTGGGGTTTCCGCTGCTCGGCGGGATGGTCACGGTGTTTGTGATAGAGCCGGGGTATCCCGACGTCAAGGTGACGAACTGGACAGAGGACGACGTGGCCGGGATCACGTTGGACGGAATAGGCGTAAGAACAACCAGGGTTGTCGGGTCACCAACCGCCGAGGGCGTAAGGGTGAGTGTGGATATGGCAGAACCGGCGAAGCCACTCGTCAAGATGACCTGGTTAGCCAGAGCGCTGGATGCGCCAGCTCCCACTGTCGGCGTCTGGACGAGAACGTCACCGACCGTCTGCAACCCGGTCGGTGCCAACGTAGTCGTACGCGTAATGCTTCCATCATAGCCCTCTGTGCGGGTAAGAGCAGGAACAACACCAGCAGCGGCAGAACTGGTCGGGGTCTGGATCAGGACGGTGCCAATACTCTCAGTACCAGTAGGGAAGATAGTAGTCGTCGTGGGCACCGAGCCTGAGTATCCGGTGGTGACGATGTTGAAGCCGATGGACAAGAGAGGCGAGGATTGGGTAATGGCGGGCTCTTGAACAATCACAGTGCCCGGGTTGGATCCAGACGGGGGGATCGTGACGGTAGCAGGCACGGAGCCGGTCCCGGTAACCGTTGTGAAAACGAAGCTACTAGGAACTTGAACTTGTCCTTGAGTCTGGGTTGCGGCGGGCTCTTGAACAATCACAGTGCCCGGGTTAGATCCAGACGGGGGGATCGTGACGGTAGCAGGCACAGAGCCGGTCCCAGTAACCGTTGTAAAAACGAAGCTACTGGGAACCTGGGGCTGGGTTGTGGCAGGTTGTTGAACAACCACACTGCCTGGGTTGGTGCCCGACGGGAGGATCGTGACAGTGGTGGGCACAGAGCCGGTTCCAGCAACAGTTGTAAGTATAAACCCACTAGGAACTTGGACCTGCCCTTGACCCTGGGTCGTGGCAGGTTGTTGAACAACCACACTTCCCGGGTTAGACCCAGATGGAGGAATTGTGACGGTAGTAGGCAGAGAGCCAGTTCCAACAACTGTTGTAAGAACAAAACCACTGGGAACTTGGACTTGTCCTTGAGCCTGGGTTGTGGCAGGCTCTTGAACTACCACACTTCCTGGGTTAGATCCAGATGGCGGGATCGTAACTGTGACAGGAACGGAACCAGTGCCAACAACTGTTGTGAGAACAAACCCACTAGGAACTTGTGCCTGTCCCTGCGCCTGGGTTGTGGCGGGCTCTTGAACGACTACAGTACCTGGAATGGATCCAGATGGCGGGATTGTAACAGTAGTAGGTACTGATCCAGTTCCAATAACTGTGGTAAGGACAAATCCACTAGGAACTTGGACTTGCGGTTGGGTTGTCGCAGGCTGCTGAACGATGACGCTGCCCGGGTTGGTGCCCGATGGCGGGATTGTGACAGTAATGGGCACTGAGCCAGTTCCAGCAACCGTCGTAAGAACGAAGTCACTTGGCACTTGGACTTGCGGCTGTGTTGTCGCAGGCTGCTGAACGATAACGCTGCCTGGGTTGGATCCAGACGGCGGGATCGTGATGGTTGTGGGCACTGATCCGGTCCCAGCAACCGTGGTGAGAATAAAGTCACTTGGCACTTGGACTTGCGGCTGTGTTGTTGCAGGTTGTTGAACAATGACACTGCCTGGGTTGGTGCCCGATGGCGGGATCGTGACGGTAGTAGGGACAGAGCCAGTTCCAGCAACTGTAGTCAGGACAAACCCACTAGGAACTTGGACTTGTGGCAGGCCTGTGGCAGGCTGTTGCACAATGACACTGCCTGGATTGGATCCAGATGGCGGGATCGTGACTGTAGCAGGAATAGAGCCAGTTCCAACAATAGTCGTGAGAACGAAACCGCTTGGCACTTGGACCTGGGGCTGGGTAACGGCAGGCTGTTGGACAATGACACTGCCCGGGTTGGTACCCGACGGGGGAATTGTCACAGTGGTTGGCACTGAACCAGTGCTAGCAACTGTTGTAAGAACGAAACCACTTGGCACTTGAACCTGAGGCTGGGTAACGGCAGGCTGTTGGACAATGACGGTGCCCGGATTGCTACCTGACGGGGGAATTGTCACAGTGGTTGGCACTGAACCAGTGCCAGCAACTGTTGTAAGAACGAAACCACTTGGCACTTGAACCTGAGGCTGGGTAACGACAGGCTGTTGGACAATGACGGTGCCCGGGTTGGTACCCGACGGAGGAATCGTCACCGTGGTTGGCACGGAACCGGTGCCAACAACTGTTGTAAGAACGAAGTCGCTCGGGACGCTAGGGGCAGCGGTGGCCGCCGGTCCCGTCGTCGGGGTCTGGATCAGCACGATTCCGGCGGAGTTGGTGCCAGTGGGCAGGATCGTAGAAGTCGCTGCCACGGGGCCTCCGGTGGAGATTGTGACGAAGATGTTGGGCACTGCGGTCGTGCCAGCGCCACCGGCAGAGGTTGGCTGGACTGCGCCTCCGGAGAAGAGAGGCGTCTGGACGATAACGGTACCAACCGTGTCGGTTCCGATGGGCTGGAGCGTGATAGTGGTCGGCACGGCGCCGGTGAAACCCTGTTGGATGGTTGTAAAGACGCTCGCTGGAGTCGAGGGCGATTCCGTGGGGGTCGGGAAGGGAGTTTGGACAACCACAATGCCGGAGCCACCTCCGGAGGGCAGCACGGTGATAGTGGTGGGAGCCGTTCCGGTGAAGCCGATAGTAGTGGTCTGGATGATGTTGACCTGGGCCGTCGGTGTCTGAATCAGCACGATGCCGAGGGAGTTGGATCCTGTTGGCGGCAGGGTCGTCGTCGTCGGCACGGAGCCGGAGTAACCCTGCACAACTGTTGTGAACTGAGCGGCGTTCGAAGCGCCAGGCAGACCGGTGGTTGGCGTCTGGATGACCACAATGCCCACAGAGTTGGTGCCGGTGGGGAGGAAAGTCTGGGTGGTCGCCACCGGCCCTCCTTGAGTCACGGTGATAGCGGACAGGCCTAGAGGCGGGTTGCCGCTGGGGAAGATGGTAAGGCCCGGGATGCCGATGCTTATGGGTGGGATGCTGATGATGGGAAGGCCTCCGGGTGGGATGCTGACGAGGGGAAGGCCGCCGAGTGCGTTGCTGACGATGTCAGGGTTTGCCCCGCGGTCAGCATCGCCTCCTGACGGCGAAGGCGTGAAGAGGGAAGAGGGGACCTGTACGAGTACCGTTCCTACAGTGTTAGTACCTGTTGGCAGCAAGACATTGGTTAGTGCGGAGGCTCCTGAGAAGGGAGCGGTCACCGTCGTGAATGGCACTCCGGGGGGGAGAGTGAGTTGAGGGGCAACTGCCGGGTTAGTAGGGGTGAGGATCACGACGGTGCCAGGACTGTTAGAATCGGCTGGCGGAACGGTAAAGGTAGTCGGTGCCGGGCCGCCAAAGCCAGACTGTATCGTTGTGAAAGTACCGGCCGCCCCGGGTGCCGGGTTCTGCTGCACGCCGCCGGCGCCGCCGCTCTGTTGCGGAACTGCCGGGCCAGAACCCTGAGTCTGCTGTCCCGGAACTGGGCTCTGCTGTCCTGGGACCTGGCTCTGCTGACCTGGAATTGGGCGTTGCTGTCCCGGAACTGGACTCTGCTGTCCCAGAACTGGGCTCTGCTGTCCTGGGACCTGGCTCTGCTGACCCGGAACTGGGCGTTGCTGTCCCGGAACTGGGCTCTGCTGTCCCGGAACTGGGCTCTGCTGTCCTGGGACCTGGCTCTGCTGACCTGGAATTGGGCGTTGCTGTCCCGGAACTGGACTCTGCTGTCCTGGAACTGGGCTCTGCTGTCCTGGGACCTGGCTCTGCTGACCTGGAACTGGGCGTTGCTGTCCCGGAACTAGGCTCTGCTGTCCCGGAACTGGGCTCTGCTGTCCTGGGACCTGGCTCTGCTGACCTGGAACTGGGCGTTGCTGTCCCGGAACTGGGCTCTGCTGTCCCGGAACTGGGCTCTGCTGTCCTGGGACCTGGCTCTGCTGTCCTGGAATTGGGCGTTGCTGTCCTGGAACTGGGCTTTGCCGTCCTGGAACTGGACTCTGCTGTCCTGGGACCTGGCTCTGCTGTCCCGGAATTGGGCGTTGCTGTCCTGGGACCTGGGTCTGCTGTCCCGGAACTACAGGAGGCACACTGGCCGGCTGGGTCGCCAGAGGGTTAGAGAGCACCACGACGGTGCCCACCGTGTTCGTCCCCGCAGGAGGGATAGTCAGAGTGGCGGGCGTTGCGCCTGCAAACGACCCAGTGAGGGTAGTGAAAGAAACAGGCAGAGCACCCTGGGGAGGACCCGTCGCAGCCGAACCTGCGGAGCTCGGCGTCAACACCAAGACCGCAGGGGCGCCTCCAGCGCCGTTCGTGGGCTGGATAGTCACTGTCGTGGCTTGCGATCCCGGGAAACCAGCTGTGATGGTGTTGGCGGGCTGAGCGGCAGCCGGTGCGGCACCACCGGCGCCAGCAGGGCCAGGAACAACGGGTTGGTTCGTGGGGGTCAATACCAAGACCTGGCCGAGTGACTGGGTTCCGGACGGTGGCAAGGTGATGGTGGTAGGCACAGATCCGGAGAATCCACTGGTGAGTGGTGGAAGGGCCCGTTGGGGCGCCGGGTTAGTACCCGCTGCACCCGGTGCACCTGCAGCATTGGTGGCCGGGTTAACGACTGGGTTCGTGGCAGCCGGGTTGACGGCTGGGTTCGTGCCGGCCGGGTTGCCAGCAGGATTGGGAACTGTGTTCGGGGCCGGAGAGGCCGCCGGAGTTGCGGCGGGAGCCCCGCCGGCAACCGAGTTGAAGCCGGCGGGCCGCTGCTCGACAACGGTGGCAGCCGAGTTGTCTCCCTGAGACGGCAGTGTCACAGTCAGAGGATCCGCCCCGTCGAACTCGCCTTGGATAAGAACACGGTTGGCCGACAGGGCGGCAGGCTGGCTCGTCGCCGGGTCATCTCCGCCGAGGCCCGGGGCAACGAGAACGAAACCGGTCTCTGCGGCGGCGTCGAACGGCGGCAAAGTCGCCGTCGCGCCATCGCCAGGGACAGGGAGCGCGGTCACTGTGTTGAGAACGCGTGGCTGGGCCACCTGAGACGCGGTTTGGACAATGACGGTTCCCAGCGTCGGGTTGCCGGCGGGCACAACCGTAAGAGTGACCGGGATGGTTCCCGTGTTTCCGCCCGTGGTGATGGTCGTGAACGGGCCGGTGAATGGGGTGGCGGCGAGCTGGACGAAGACACGGCCAAACTGCTCGGTGCCGGTGGGAGGAATAGTCAGCGTGACTGGAGTGTCCCTGTTGTTGCCGCCGGCTGTGATGGTGCTGAACGGACCGGCGAATGCTGCAGGACCAGCCGGGCCGGGTGTCTGGATGACCACCGTGCCGACACCCCCAGAAGTAGGGAGAATGGTAAAGGTTCCCGCCTGGCCGTTCGCGTTGCCGATGGTGATAGTCTCCAGCCTGGCGGGGAAGACCTGGGGGGCTCCGGAAGCCTGGATGATCTGCAATCCCTGCGCGCCGCTGGCGGTCTGTCGCACGTTGGGCAAAGTGATGATGTCGGGATTCACACCGACGTTGCCCAAGACGGTGATGATGTTCTCGGGCCCAGTTACCGTGATGGTGAAACTGTCGAAACCCTGTTCATAGACTGTGGCTTGAGACCTGGCCGAGTCCACGACGGTAAAGTTCCTGGGCACTCCTTGAGCACCACCGACCCTGACTGTCGTCGCCGGTCCGGTGAATAGTTGCGGGAATGAGCCGGCACTGGAGCCTGTTGGAGGGGCAGTCAAACGGATCGAGGATGGACTGGCGCCTGGGATTCCGCCAGTGAAGGTGGCCGCCGGCGATCCTACATTACCACCAGCCGTGGGCGCTGTAGCACCGAAAGGGGTGTAGACCAAGTACGTCCCGATGCCGTCCGGGGCCGTGGGGTATACTGTGATTGTGCTCGCCACAGAGCCAGAATGGCCACCCCTGGTGATGGTCACGTAGGCGTTGGGAGAGGAGTTGACTTGTTGCAGGATTCTGGTTCCCGGTTAGCATGCGAGCTTTCCTCCCGGTAATGGGTTCGAACAACTCGCGGTGGTGGATGGACGGCTTATGGATGGACGGCTTACCTAGTAGCCTGGGAATTCGTGGTTCCCAGCTTGTCGATTTCGGTGACCAAGGTCACGGGTGCATTGGTGATTGTGAGGGTGATGCCATCGCCAAGCACCAATGTGGTGTTGACAGGCAGGTAGGCGCTGATGTAGATGGGCTGCTTGACGATCAACTGCACCGGCTGCACTTCAACGGACGTGATGCCGGCAGGGCAGACGGGGTTGTCTGGGAACTGAGGCAGCGCGGCTGCGAGCCAGGACTGGCCGGCGGCGGCCAGCAGGCTCATCGCTCGTACGAACCTCATGATGAAAGGCGGTTGCGTGATGCCAGCACGATAAGCTCAAGGCCGTTGTCCTAGACACCAGGTCTGAAAAGCCTGACGGCAGCAATGGGCTCGCTCCCGGGTGTACAGGTCTTGGTTGCGTAATCAAGAGATGATGTTTTCTTTGCTCTCTTCCTTGTCGATGGGAAGATGTGACGGTTGTCTGTGAAAAGCTAATGGTCGCTATCTCTCATGCTATTTCATCTCTTGGGATGTTCGGGAAGCACCACTGCTCCGACGGTGGACAAGCAATAGAGAGGAGACAATAAAGCCAACGGAGTCTTGTCTTCAAGTATGTGGGCGCCTTGGGACAGATATTTGCCAAGGCTCGGTACGGCCACGATACTTGTCGCCTTCTCCTTTTCGATTTAGAAGTGGAAAAGGTACTGTACTGCTCTCGTTGCCGTGAGACTGTTTCGTGCCTGGTGAGCGGAATGACTTGTATTGGTGTGGAATGTCGCTCCTATACACCTATTGGAGGAGGAATATGAAGAGGAAGAGGAAGATCCGGTGGGCCCACGCCAGGTTGAGTGACAACGCCTTGTCCGACAGATGTTTTGAGTTGAGATTGTTCCCAGGTTTCCGGTACTTACGAGGTGCAAAAGGAGGAAGATATTAGAGCTATGGGAGGCGAGAGAGAAGGGGGGAAGCAGAGAGGGAGGGCATTCCGTGGCGAAAGTGTATGACGGCCCGAGGAAGTCATCGTCCATACCATCCGGGCACAACAGAGCTCCCCATTTCGCAAGCAGGGGAAACGATGACTTGCTGTTTCCATGGTTTCCCCGTTTGATGGCCGGTTCTAGCCATAGCTCCTCGTTCCGATGAACTATGTGCGCATCCCGGAGGAGAGATCTAAGACAATTCCGTCAACCAAGAGCTCTTCTGTCGTTCCGGGAACAGCGACGGAATGCTCCGGGATTGCCAAGTACAATGAAATGTAGAAATCCCCCCTCCCCCAAACGCTGACAATGCCATTGTTGTCGCCCGTCGAGCGTGGTGGTCTATGGAGACAGAGGCATGTGCAGATGTTGCCGCTGCCAACACCAAGGAAACCCTGGCAGAAGATGGCGCGCGCACCCGTGGTTGAGGTGACAACAGCCGTCCCTCGCCCTAGACCCTTCATGATTTCCAAGCCGGAGGAGAGGGATGCTATGGTTCCTATGCTCTCCGGGGTTAATCACACTCGCTAGTTGTTGGCATGTCTTGGATGATTTGCATCTTCTCTTACGAATGCGTTACCGGGGGAAACTTTGCAGTTCCATGATTGGGCCGACGCAGTGCCCTTCAAGGGGGGCTGAAGCCAATCTTCAACAGAAACGTCGAAGCATCTGGTGTAGTTGATCTGTTACTGGCGACGGATCATTTCTTCCGCCCTCTCACGGTTGTTAGGGCCCATTTGGAGGCTTCGACGCCACGGCTGGAAACGAACACAAGCGGTAGGTTTGGTCGAACGGGAGATGCGGGATGCCGAGTGTGTCTCGCGCCGGTTCTGCCAAGTCTGTTGCTATCATGTTTAGCTTCACAAACACACTCACTGCCTAACGACGGGAATGACAGATCATCTTTTGACTACCAGTGTACAGTTGCTAGTGCGCAGAGTCACCGGGAGCCTCTGGTTGGTCATTCAGGCCAAGACATGGCACGCCATGGACTCTAGACCCAGTCCTTTTAGATCAATGGAACCGTTCTCATGGAGCTTTGGCTTCCGATCAAAGCTGGTCGGATCCGGTTGACTAAGATGACATACAAGCGCCCCCTCCCCGGGGCGCTTGAGGCGACCTACCGGGCCGCCATGTCTCTATCCGCACCCGGAACGGGGCTCTGGAGGGAGGCTATGCCTTTGAGGCTTCAGTCAGGCGTCATCACGGTTGCAGATTCGCAAAATCTTGACCAGTTTGCTTTCGGCTTTGGCCTCCCTCGGCCCACTCCTCATCGCCGTTGGAGCCAGGCCTCGACGGCCTTTGTGGCTTCCGGCCGCTACGTAGAGATTTTCGCCCTCGCCCGTTTGTGGACGATAGAGTTGGCGTCCTTTGTGATGTTATGACCGGAGATGGACGTCATATGACATTTACGTCTTGGCGACCGGCTCCATAGAGGCATCCATATACGATACCGCGCCGGGCCTCCTCGAGAATGTCCTGATATAGGGTTTGTCCGCATTCCATCTCCATCTCAACCCCTTTCTGCTCTGGCTGCATCTGAGCAAACCACCCCCCTCCCCCTCCCTCCCCCTACCTCGCCCAAATATGCTTCCTTACATGTTTGCATTCGCCGCCGTTGTGTCTGGCGCAAAGGTCCAGCGGAGACAAGACAGTTGTTCCTCCACCATCACACTATCCACTCTCTCCGTCACCACTGTAGAACCGATCTCGATCTACATCTTGCCCGGCCAACTCGCTCCGACGGGGACCAGCAACAACGAGGAAGCCGTTACCATCGTTTATCAGACTGTGTATGCCACATTCTGCCCCAACTGTCCAGGGGGCTTGCAGGCACAGACATATACCGTCACACAAACATGCACCGGCAACATCGCTTCATGCCGGCCACTCGGCAATGTCTTGCCTGCGGGCTTCACAACGACGCAGGCCACCTGTACCGACTGCCCGACTCCCTTCAGCGCGATCCTGACTGTCCCGACTCCTGAACCGACCGACGTAGTCGTTACTGAGACAGTTCTCCAAACCATCACCGAGCCCAGCCTGACCACCACGCGTGCTGTCGTCCGAACTTACACGACCGCGCCCGCCTTGCCCACAACCGCGCCCTCGTTATCTTCGATTAGCTACAACGGCCGCGTCCAGACCTTTGACGTAGGGAACTTTGCCGAGGCCATCACCGCGACCGCCACGGTTATCGTGACGCAGGAGAAGACCGCCACCGCGACCGTGACCGTGGACGCCAATGGGGACTTCAAGCCGGTCGGCCTCAACAGCGGAGCGGGACGGCTTGTCTCCTCGGACAGGATATTGGTGTTTGGCATGAGCGCCTTTGTTCTTTTGTTGCTTGCTTCTTCATGACCGTCATTGAAGGTCCGGAATTCGGGGGAGGCTTCAAGATATTACAGACGAAAAAAACCCCGCGAGCGTGGTAGTTTGGGGTGTTATCGGTTATCCTTGGGCCCAGGTTGTGTCCACCTGTTTTCCCAACAGGCCTTTCAGGCTCATCTCAACTTTTTCCTTTTCCATATTTAATGCATTAACACCTGTCAAGTTCCAGCATTTAAGAGCATCCGGGATAGTATCATACACGGGGGAAGGGGTTTGGAAGAATGAATATCTTTGTATCTAGACATAGTCTTTTAACATTACGGTTCCATCGCTTCGTCACCCCGCCCATCGTGAGGTTCTTCATCGGCTGGTAGTGGTGTCTTTATGCTCTCTGTCCTCCTCACTACGCTTATTGCCCTCCTCCTCCAGCTTTATTCTCTCCTAAGCATAGAGCTGTGCAGGCGTAACTATATGCTGGATGTAGTTTATTGATAATCAAGACCCTGAGAGCTGCCCATCCCAAACCACTCAACGACGGCACCGGTGTCTACAGAAGCCTGAGAACAACCACGTTGTGTGCTTCTGGGGAGGGGAGATAACCCCCTCGGTCTCTTCGGATACTCCCCGCATTAACCCGTCTTTCGGGCCGGATGACAAATACAAGTCAGCAAGCACTTGGTGTGAGACACCGTCCAAGGTACTTTCATCACTGGCCGGAGTCTCACGCTTGCCATCATAGCTTCGCCTTGCCTGCGCACATGACGTGTGTGAAGATCTGAGATCTGGATCCGTTGAAACGAAAGATAATGTCTTGCCTTATGATGATCCGAAAATACGATATGAAGAAGCACTCTTTCACCATGTCAATGCCGTCGCCACGCCTTCTTTGTGTCGACGGCTGCACTAATCCAGGCGATCGCTTGACGAGTCCGTCATATCTAATGTCTAATTCTTCTCTATCCGCTCGTCGAGAGCATCTGTCCGTCTAGTGGTATTGTTGACACTCGGAATGGATTCCCTAGAAGCTTCCGCGTACCTCTCTGGTCGTTTCCATGGACTACGTCTTAGTCCCTCTCTCTTCCTAGTTTGAATGCGAGACAACGTGACGGAGGCCCCCCCCCCCTCTTCGTTCCGAGGACAAAGAGGAACATGCGGAACGTATGCATGCCAGCCCGTTGCGACTGGCACCAATATCTGCGAATAATCTCTCGGTGGCGTACCTGCGCGATGCAAGATTCGTAAACCCTCTTATTGCCGCCACCGCTGATGTAACTTTCCAACTGTTGCCGCCAGTGGGCAAATGGCGCAGCATGCCACACACACACACACACCCCTCACCCAGCGTCGATGCAGGAAAGCATACGCCTTACATTGTCATCGATGGCTTTGCGGTTGTGGCTTGGCCTGCTTGGTTCTATGAGTCGTGATATCATTGTATGGGAATCGTCATGTCCGCAACTCATGCAGATGATGTCGATGTCGATGCCACCGACCGAAGCACCTGTTTCAACCACCACACGTGAATGCGCATGTCGTTGGTCAGCTCAGGGTGAAAACTCGTAGCAAAGATGTTGTCCTGCTTCACGGCAACGATGTCGCCGACCGCGTCGTCGGCCTTGCTCTGGCTGACGCCCTCGGCGGCCATCGTCTTGCGCCCGGGGAGAACGGCCAGCACTTGGACCGAGGGCGCCGCGGCCTCGGTCGTGAGGATCTCCTCGACGATCGGGGCGCGGATGAAGACGCCGGGGTAGGGCGCGGGAGCCGTCGCCGCGCCTCCGTCACCTTGAGACAGGAACGGCAGTTCGAGATCGGCTACGAAGCTCTCCATCTGCCTGCCAAAGTGGTTGCGGTGAACGCGCACGCCGAGGCCCCCGATGAGCTCTTGGCCGCCCTTCTTGGTGGCGTTGGCTTCATCGGCGAGCAGGATGGCGCCCGCGCATGTACCCCATACTGGCTTGCGTTTGACTCTGGAGCGGCAGAAAACGGATTAGATCTTGTCTCATACGTTGATCTTGGAAACAAACTTGGTTGCTGTTAACAACTGGTGGGAAACATTCGACTGGAATATGCTCCCCCACACACCTCCTCTTGGCATTTTTCCTTTGTCTTTTGTCTCAAATGACATCATGGATATGAATAGAAAAGATTCGACGGGCCCAAATACTCACTTGACGAATTCCCTCAGGGGTTCCATCAGCCCAGACTGCGTCGCGACAAACGAGATGGTGGTGCTCTCCCCACCCGGAATGATGAGGGCGTCACAACGACGGAGCTCTGCATCGGTGCGGACCTCGATGGCTGCGATGTCGGCATTCGGGCTTGGCGTCGTCGGCGACTGGGCCGTCGCAAGCCAAGCGGCGGCCTTCCTCGTGAGTTGGACATGCTCGTGGAAGCCGCCTTGGAGCGCCAATACGCCGACGGTGACGGTGGACATGGTGTTGGAGAGTGATGCTGTTGAAGATGAATGTGCGGAGAGAGTTCTTTGGGGGTTTCGAGGGAAAAGAGTCGTTGAAAATTACACCTGTTACGGTTGAGTCATTCACGCCGTGTGGCACATTAACAAGGTTCCGAACTGCTTGAACAGGGCGTGGGATGTGACAAGCCTTGGCGATGGAGGTTCGTGGTATACCCTTGCTCTTCAATCTGGCCGCTCTTGTTTGTTAGTCGGTGTGTCAACGAGAGACTCGGAAAGGCGGCCGAGGAGAAGGCCATAGAAGGGACGGCTGAAGAACCAGTCTACACTAAACACTAACACGTTGCAGGTCAAAGATCCGACCCTATAGTATGTGAGATGTATTATTACCTAGACACCCTCCGGCGCGGAAGAGCCAGGGCGGTAGGCGGCGCGATGGGGTTGGAGGATCTCGGCTTAACATCCGATGGCAACCGCCCGCCGCCCGCCCTTCGAGTATATCCGTACACTGCTGTAGTACCACACAGGCACCGTCGTATATAGTCAGTCGTCTCATCAGATACTCGGCCATGTAGAACTACCTACAAACAAACACCGGTGCGGGGGCCGCTAGCTACGGCTGGGCCTGGGACCGACTGGAGACATAAGCTTCGATGACACTGCCATTCCGTTAAGGTTCGGAGTAACCGTATCTTGCCTTTCCGAGGTCGGTCAGTCCGCTCCCCGTCACCTTTCACCAGCCAACCCTCTGTCCCGTGTCTGTCACGAGGCGGGCGGCATGGCCCCTGAGGAGGGGGTTCCCTTACGATCTACCCCCCTCCAGGTGTCGCCGCCGACTCGGCCTATGCTAGGTATATGCCGAGGGTGGGTTGTCGACCTGTCTCCAAGCAACAATCGTAGGTAATCCAAGGGGTCTCCCGCGGGCAGCGACGGGATGACTCGGTATAGCAAAAAAAGTATAAAAATTTTCTCGTCCAATCTGTTGCTGCGGGAATCATAATCGAGTTGTCGCCGTGGAAATATTACATACTTATTAGTTGCCACCCCCCTCTTCGCGTTCCTCTCCTACATCCCTCTTCCCCGGGTTCCGAATATAAGAGACGTCAGTCAGTCCAAGACCCCCATCACGAAGCGGAGCCATCCCAAATCCTCTTTTCGCCCTTTTCGAGGCCTGCCTTTCTCTCTGATTGATCAGCAAAAGAAAAGAAGAAGAAAAGAAGACAACCCTTTAAAGCAGTTCACCAAGCCGTCTTATTCCCGGCCATTGCGACTCTCTCTTCTTCTGTACGGGTCTTACTTAGTTAGTGTGTCACAGCCAGAAGATGACCTTCAACGACGCAACAGCCAAGGCCAACGGCGGCACCAACGGCGATGCCGCCAAGAACTCGTTCGCCGTCAAGGCCGGGCTCGCGCAGATGCTCAAGGGCGGCGTCATCATGGACGTGACGGACGCGGCGCAGGCCCGCATCGCCGAGGAGGCCGGCGCCTGCGCCGTCATGGCCCTCGAGCGCGTCCCCGCCGACATTCGCAAGGACGGCGGCGTCGCCCGCATGTCGGACCCGGCCGTCATCAAGGAGATCCAGAACGCCGTCACCATCCCCGTCATGGCCAAGGCCCGCATCGGCCACTTTGTCGAGTGCCAGATCCTCGAGGCGCTCGGCGTCGACTACATTGACGAGAGCGAGGTGCTCACGCCCGCCGACAAGGTCTACCACGTCGAGAAGGCCGACTTCAAGGCCCCCTTCGTCTGCGGCTGCCGGAACCTCGGCGAGGCCCTGCGCAGGATCGCCGAGGGCGCCGCCATGATCCGCACCAAGGGCGAGGCCGGCACCGGCGACGTCGTCGAGGCCGTCACCCACGTCAAGACCGTCACCAAGGACATTGCGCGCGCCAAGGCCATCCTCGAGACCGAGGGCGTCATCGGCATCCGCGCCATGGCCCGCGAGATCGGCGTCGACCCCGCCCTCCTCCAGCAGACCGCCGAGCTGGGCCGTCTCCCCGTCGTCAACTTCGCCGCCGGCGGCGTCGCCACCCCCGCCGACGCCGCGCTCATGATGCAGCTCGGCTGCGACGGCGTCTTTGTCGGCAGCGGCATCTTCAAGTCGGGCGACCCGGCGAAGCGCGCCAAGGCCATCGTGAGGGCGACGACACACTACAAGGACGCCAAGGTGCTCGCCGAATGCAGCGAGGGTCTCGGTGAGGCCATGGTCGGCATTAACTGCGACAGCCTGAAGCCCGATGAGAAGCTTGCCACCCGTGGGTGGTAAATGGAGGGAGGGGGGGGGGGGGGGGGAGGAGATGCCGGCGTTATCTGCCCGCCATCGAGCGGGCTTGCATCGAATGGGAGGCAACGCATACACGCGATGGCTTATGCGTGTGTGTGTGTGTGTGTGTGTGTAAGTGTGATATTTGGGTGTTCACACGAGTCATGACTATACGACATGGAAAAGCAGAATTCTCTACATTTTATTTTCTTTGTTTCCTTTCAACATGAGGCATCATGGCCACGTCTCAGCCAGCGACAAAGACAATGGGAGGGGTATCATTTCCTACGGGGCATATCGGGAAGATGAAATGCGCATAGAGAAAAATGAAATTTACCTCATTTGGTGCTGAACTTTGGAGGGGGCGCCCTGTCGTCTCAGACTCAAGAGTGATTCGCGGACTGAAATCTTACGAGGTGATACACACGCTCTTACCGGGGCCTGTCGAAACCGCCCTCATGACTCTAATCACGTCTATAGATGTGAGGTCTCTTCACTCTATGCCGGTCGACCGTCACGATGGTCATCTGTGTGATGCCGCGGGTTCGAGACTTGATAGTTGCTAGACTGGATGATGAATCTCGAAGATGGCGGCGGACATAGCTGCCCCACAGCCGTATCACAGCCCCAGACACAGGGTTTGGTTCCCTCTTCTGACTCCACGATATCAGCCCCCATTTCCGCCTCATCCATCATCCGAAGATGATCGGCGGGCATAGCTCAGTTGGGAGAGCGTCAGACTGAAGTGGGTTTCTTTAGACCCTGGAAACTTCATTCAATCTATCTGAAGGTCGTGTGTTCAATCCACACTGGCCGCATCTTCACCTTTTGATGGTAAGACTTACTTACCTGCTAAATCTCACGATAATCGTCAATCAATCACTTTTGCCGTGTCATGCATGTATGTATGAGTTTAATGTTTCTTTTTTGCGTTGAAATACATCATCGATAGATGAGTCGCTGTAAAATTAACAATTACTACTCACTGACTGACTGGTCACTGAATGTTGTTCTCTCTCCACTTTGTTTGAAACTCGGGTTTATCGTCATCGGCTCAACTCAATTCAATAAATAGGATTTCCTTACTTGGAACATGGGATGTTGAAAGGATTCAGTCAGCTCTTTCCCACTTCGCTTCGCGTTGTCGACGATGAGACGAAACAGACTTCAACTCAACTCGGTCGAACATGACACGACGAATGTAAACACGTATCTCGCCGTGTCCTCACGCTACTCACGCATCGAGGGGGCATTTACACGAAAAGTGGGTGTGTATTTTACATAGTATAGACAATTCATAGGGTGATCAAGACGAGGAGAGCTGACGCTGTAGAGTCCGGGTTGATGAGTGGGAGGGAACGGCATGAACAGCAACAGTAGGTTAGGTAGCCCTATGCGTGCGGCTTCTCGGGGCTTCACGAGGCTGACTGAGGTGGCTCTCTCTGCTTGGTGTCTAACGTCTTGCCGTATTCAAACTTTCTTTCTTTCTCTCCGGCCAACAAACGACCCAACTGGTGGCTGTTATCAAGGTGCAGCGCAGCTCCGCTACTCTTCCGCCACAAACTTTCCGAGAGTCTATTCGCTTTCCACGGCTTGTGCGTGTGCCTTGACCAGTCAAAGATGCTGCGCCTTGCCAACAACCGCCATGGTCTATTTCTTTCCTTGCCTCGCGATCCAAGCTTTCAGCAGGGTCTGCCTTATGCATGGCAGTTGTTTAAACAGCTCCGAAGCCAACGTGAGGAGGCTGTTTATTAGACTACTATGGTACGGCTCTCGAATCAAGCAGATGGACAACGAATGATATAAACCTTTGGGTCCAAGGGCGGTCGGTCTAGGATTCGTTGTCTACAGAAACATCCAGCCTAGCCTGGGGACTATTACAATTTGTAATAATAGAACGCCCCCCTCCCCCCGCGACGGATTTGGCTTTTTGACTTTTAGACTTTTCAACTCTAGAGCGTTTGGGAAAGAAAGAAAAACAGAAAGAAAACAACCGACACTCCAGGCCAGGGATAAAGCATTCAAGCTCGGTGGCTTGGGGTTCACCCAGAATGATTTGTGTTCGCGCGCGCCAGCTTACGGCTGTGTCGCTCGCCAGACATGGAGATGCTTGAGTAGTAGTAGTGGTAGTAGTAGTAGTAGTAGTAGTAGTAGTAGTAGTAGTAGTAGTAGTAGTAGTAGTAGTAGTAGTAGTAGTAGTAGTAGTAGTAGTAGTAGTAGTAGTAGTAGTAGTAGTAGTAGTAGTAGTAGTAGTAGTAGTAGTAGTAGTAGTAGTAGTAGTAGTAGTAGTAGTAGTAGTAGTAGTAGTAGTAGTAGTAGTATAACCAGGCGCCGGCTCGTCGGTGTTTCGGCAAACTCGCGCCAGCCAGAGGGGCCATGCGCCGATGACCGTATTACCGATCCGTGAGAATCATGCTTGGTATGAGCAGTGTTTAATAATACAAAAATGTTACAATGTCTTTCTCGGACAGCCAGCCCCTATTCCTACATACATACACCCCCCCGGCGCAGCACCAGAAATCCTAGTACCTCGCCTGGTTGTCGTTCTGCTCCTTGACATTGCGACGGACGCGCCGCCCGTATCGCTCGACGCGGGACTTGACGTCCAGATTGTAGCCCGGCATGGCACCGATGGCCTTGGAGAAGATGCCCAGCTGGCCGCGGCGGAAGGAAGCCAGGGCCATCTCGATGGTGTCGACCAGGCGCAGCGTCTGCTTGTCGTAGGACAGCCCCGCAAACTGCATCTCGTCGAGCACGTCGAGCACGGCCTGCGTGTCGCCGTGGCGGTACCAAAAGATGGAGGCCAGCTCGTTGTAGAAGGGCGTCGAGACGCCGAGAACGTAGGAGGCCAGGCCGAGCTCCTTGACGCGCGGCAGGACGTCGAGGGCTAGTGCGGACGACCGCGCGAAGGACTGGTCAAGGGTCTTCAGGCCCTGGAGGAGGTGCATCGAATAGAGGGGGCCGTGGGACTCCATGGCGAGGGACGGCCCAGACGTCGTGGCCGCTGCCTCCTTTTCGACCCGCTTCGGTCTGCCTTTGCCCTTCTTTGCCGTTTGCGGCGGTGGCTGCACCTGCTGACTATCCTCGGAAATACCAAGCTTCGCAACCATGGAGAAAACGTCGCGTTCCAGAACGTCCCACACCTCGACATCGGTGTTACATTGGTCTAGAAGGGCCTGCAGCCTAACGATCTCGTGGGTCCGGATCTCGTTGTGGGCGGCCTCTAGCCTCGCGGCTTGTTCCTTCTCGGCCTCGAGGTCCGCATCTGAATCATGATGCTGCTCTTCCGTCACGAAGGAGGTGCGAAAGGAGGACGAGTCGTCGAACGGGGCCTCGCGCAATTCCAAGGCCGCCTGAGCCGCCCGTCGGAGGGAGCGGGGGAACTTGCTCAGGATGGCGTCGCGGGGTCCAGACTCGCCCTCCTGGTGGGTGGCGGCGGCGTGGGGGTCTTGGCGGCCGCTGCGCTTCGCAATGTCGGCAAAGATGTTTTGGAAGATGAACTTCTCGGTCGGGGTGATGGTGGACTTTTCAGGGTTGTTGAGGCCGCTTGGGATGTCGGGCTGTTCGTTGGCCGGGCTGTCCCATTCGAAGGGGATGCTCTGCTCGCCGCGGGTTCTGGGGTAGGCATGGGGACGGGCTGCGGATGTCGAGAGAGATCGGAGAGCCGCGGAGGCCCTGAGAATCGTCCTCGTTTGGTAGAGGAAGGGTGTCAGCGTGGTGGCAGACATGGCGAGCTGGGGCAATGCGTCGTCGGTTGAATTGAAGCCTTTTGTTCTGCGATGACCAGATGCTGGCGATGCTTCTACCGCGCCCAGGGAACAAAATTTCTATTCCTTGTCGGTACGTACCGCAGAATACTGGATTGGCCATCCGTATAGGTACGGATACCTGCCTGTCGGTAGGGGACCTAGTGGGGACCTAGCTAGTACATACCTAGTACGGATACCTATCTACTATGGTACGTGCCTAGGTAGGTACCTATCTGAGGCAGAGTCGTCCCTTAACCGGTTATTCGCTGACGTAACCAATCTGACGTAATCCATCTTTAACCCCGGCAAGGACAAGACGCGTTGCGACGCGCTCTTTGGTCAATTAAAGCAAGTCGCGCAGTGTCTGTCGCGATCAAGTGCAGGCCTCGATTCCGGTTACACGCTTTGCTTGCGAGAGAACTCATCCTTCAGTCTTCGGGGTGCCGAAACCGCGTGCCTTTTAACTACTCGCAACCGTGTCAGATCTTGTCATTCGCTCCGTATATCCTATCTATATCCTATTCAACTCACGCAAAGAACGACGCCGCAGCATCTCACCCTTAACCGAGTCACCCACCCATCGCTCGCCCACACCAAAGCTGGCTGGCGCATTCAGCGACATCGCCCACGGCAATCAGAGTTGCGAGTTCTCGTCTCGTGCTTTCCGCGTAACCTCGGATTGAAAGTATTGCCAATCTCTTGCCGCCAATCGCAACCATGCCGATCAAGAAGAAGGAGGAGCCCGAGGAGGCCATCAGCGCCTTTGAGCGGATGCGCCGGGAAAACATCGCCAGGAACCAGAGCATCTTGAAAGACCTGGCACATACGTCAAACAAGATTATGCCTGCGAAGCCGAAACCTGCTCCTAAACCCCGCTCCGCTCCTGTCAAGAGGGAGGCAGCAGCTGCCCCAACCGGCCCTGTCCGTCGCAGTGCCCGCGTCGCCGGGCTCGACGCCGACAACGAGACGCTCAAGCGCAAGTACGAGGTCGAAATCGAGGACCAAGCTGCCAAGGAAAAGGCCAAGAGGAAGCGTGTCGGCGGCACCCTTAGTCTGGGCGACATCGCCGTCGAGGGCAAAAAGTTCAACAAGGGCATCGATGGCCTGCGTTCTCTGGTGCCCCGCGGCGCCCAGCCCGGTGTGCCGACCTTTACCGACGAGGATATCGAGAACACGTCCGACAAGGACCTCAAGGAACTGAGGAGGAAGATGGGAAAGTTGGAGCTCTACGACAAATGGATCCCCAACGGTAGGCCCATGTCCTCGTGTCCGCCCGCGGGACTCTTTTGCTAACGTACTTGCAGACATCAAGATCTGCCCTCAACGGATATACGCTTCGACCTTCCACCCTACCGAGGAAAAGGCGCTCATCTTCGCCGGCGACAAGGAAGGAGCCCTCGGCGTCTTCGACGCCTCTCAGGACGGCCCTCCCGAGAGCAACGACGATGACGACGGCCAAGAGGTCGAGTGGAAGGAACCCGAGATTGGCGCCTATAAGATCCATTCACGGACAATCACAACCATCATCGTCTCGCCTTACGACCACCAAAAAGTCTTGACCTCGTCGTACGACTCAACCATTCGTGTCCTCGACCTGGCCAAAGATATGTGCGTCCCTGTCTGGGAGCCCGCGGACAAGGAGGAGGATGTCCCCCTGTCGGCCATCGACGTCCCCCTCACGGACAAGGATCTCATCTACTTCTCGACCCTGGGCGGCGCCGTGGGCAAAGTAGACACGCGAGACCCCAAGGGATTTGAGACATGGCAGCTGTCGGATAATAAGATAGGCGGCTTCTCTCTCAATCCCCGGGAGCCGCACCTGCTGGCGACGGCCTCGCTCGACCGGACCGTCAAGATCTGGGACCTGCGCAACATCAAGGGCAAGGGCGACATGCGTTTCCCCGCGATGCTCTACGAGCACGACTCGAGGCTCTCCGTCTCCCACGCCTCCTGGAGCCCCGGCGGCCACATCGCGACGTCGTCCTACGACGACACGATCAAAATTTACGACTGGGCGGACCGCGCTGCCTGGGACAGCAGCGACGGCATGGAGCCCAAGGAGGTTATCGAGCACAACAACCAGACCGGCCGCTGGGTCACGATCCTCAAGCCGCAGTGGCATAGGAGGCCCAGGGACGGCATCCAAAAGTTCGTCATCGGCAACATGAACCGCTTCGTCGACGTCTACGCCGCCAACGGAGAGCAGCTAGCCCAGCTGGGCGGCGACGGCATCTCGGCCGTCCCTGCCGTCGCCCAGTTCCATCCCACGATGGACTGGGTCGCCGGCGGCACCGCCAGCGGGAAGCTCTGCTTGTGGATGTGAGCCCTCGTCATCGTCGCCCGTCGGCGTATGGTCAGGAACGGCCCTGTGTAAACTTGCTTGGATATGGGGCGAGGGGGTGGCAAACCCCGTTCTTTGGACACACACACACACAAATGTCTGCAAGAGAGGGAGTGGTTTGTGTATACTTGTGAAAGGGGAAGGGGGAGTGGTTTCCAGTCGTCAACGGACGGATGGGACTCGATTGACTTTGGCTTGTGCTTTTTGCGTGGCGTTTGGGGATCGGTTGGGCCAACTTTTGCCGTGGTAGCCACCACGGACTCAAAAAAGCATGGTGGATGAGGTTGTATAGGCGGCACGCACCTTTGGTCTATGGCTATCTTGAGACACGGCATGGACATGGTCGGCTCGATTGCTGTTGAAGACGGGGTACGTCCAAGAAGCACGTTCTAGGGATGTGGGGATCTTGCGGCGATCTACTGGATCTCCTCTGGCTGGATATTGCATTGCTATAGATGTCGATTCGGGGAGAAATCATTGAAGCCATACTTGGACACGAGCTTTGAGTGTCATTGGAGTGCCTGTGCTGTGTTTCTATCATCTGCCATCATCCTTGGGCCTCTGCGCGGAGTCGACGGGTCGCAAACTGTCAGAAGGGAAGAGAGGGGCCCAAAAGTGTTCTCTTCCTGTATGTGTGATCGGTCAACCATGTTCGTGGGTGGAGGTAACGGGAGCATCATTCAAGTCCAGATAGCCAGTCGGCTCATATATATGCCCGGTTTTTGTTTTTAAGATATGCAGGTCAGCCAAAACGTATTCTAGGAATCGCCAGATGCTCTATGCTTGTTGGCTGAATACATTCAATTCAATGTGGAGGGTACTTAAGTTGTTGCGATTCAACACATTTTTGTTTCTGCTCGATATCAAATGCTGGTCATAATTCACAACATGACAGAGAATTCGTCAACAAGACTTTTCCTTCTTCCTTTTATACACACATTTGATCATTACGATTAAAGAAAGGGCTCGATGGTCTGAGAAAGGGGTAGGGGTAAAAGCAGATGTCCTCTCATTGCCCTCATCACTTCGTCAGCTAGAAACCCGACATGGGCCGACTTAGACGACCCGGTAGGCGTCGTAAACAACCGTGGCCCCCAGCCTGGCGCCGCTGCCGACCCACATGGCGGTGTTGACGAGGTCCCGGTACCTCTCGTCGCCCGTCTCCATCCTCACGTTCAGGCGGAAGCTGTACTCGTCCGGCGCGACGCCGTCGGCCCGCGCCGGGTCGAACAGCCTCTCCATGACGTCCCTCGGCCCCGTCCGCCACCCGGTGGTCCGCATGGCGATGTAGGCGGGGGTGTCGTCGTCATTTTCGTCCGTCTTGAGCAGGTAGGTCGTCTCGACGGCGGTACTCAGGCTCTCGGCGACGACGAGCTGACTGTCCTGCCCGCCGGGAACGACGGTGCCGGTGCCCCACCGGGCCGTGAAGACGCCGCCGGAGAAGGAGATCCAGTTCCGCTGGCCAAAGGGGCCGACGCCGACGGAGACCAGCGGGTCGAGGTCGACGACCATGCGGAAGTCGAGGGCAAGGGACGGGACGGGGAGCGGGAGGGCGGCGCGGGTGAGGTTCGGGGGGAGGTTGTCCTCGCCGAAGGGTGTTTCTTGGCCACTAGGACGGCGACGTTAGCGGCGGCGAGCGACGGTTGGGTGGTCGATCGGTCGGAGGGAGCAGGACGAGATGGGTTTTACCTCATGTTGGGCTAGTCCTCGCGAGGGGGGAGGGGGGGTTCAAGCTACACTGGCGAGGCTCGGAGGGAAAGAGGAAGAGGAGGAGGAGATGCTCGGACGGCGTCTGTTCGGGCGAGCACGACGGTCGACGGGCACAAAGGGCACTGTACTGTTGAGTTGGGTGCAGGCGCCAATGGGCACGATGAGATGAGACGAGACGATGTGAAGACGCATTGTATTTATACACGTCGCCGAGGCCGAGAGGCGGCCGAGGGTCGATGTCTCCCCCTCCTTCTCTCCTTCACCCCTCACGTCGTGGTGGTTTCGAACCCCGCCGCTCGGCAGTAGCCAGTAGCTCTCGGCCATGTTAACCGGCACTTCGGGTCCGGATGTCGGGGTCGCGGCGGGGTCGAGCGCAACGGGTGGCGTACAGCCCCGAAGCAACCATGGATGCTTGCACGTATGGGTTCAAACAACGTTCTGGTACGGATCCCCGAACGAGCGGTAGGGGGGGGGGGCATCCATCACTCACGCCGAGTGAGGAACAAACAAGCAGGCTGGAGTACACGGGGGACGCGAGATGAGTTGATATGTATCTATCTGTACATGGACGCCACGATCGTGGTATTCTCTATCTTTGTCAATTTGGAGATGTTTGGAGATGTTGCTGTGGGAATTTTATTCTATTTAATGTTAAATCCTGGTCTTGTTTATTTATTTATTTCCCCCCCTTGGCCTCTTCAACGAAACATACGGAGCTTGGATGCGACTATCTCAACGAAAGAGGAGACTCTGGGAAGTACACTAGTGTAGACGGGGAGGAGGGGAGGACTGACCTGGGATGGGATGGATCTGATCTCAGGGTGAAAAGGAAAAGGTCGTCCGTCGTTTGCGGCGCCGACTGGGCTGATGTCATTACTGATTTTGGTTCCTTGGCCTTTCTTCTTCTTCTTCTTCGCTATCTTTGTTCGAGGAGTCTGAAATCAAAAGGCAGTACACTAAGTTATTCATCCCAAAAGTAGAGTGGTTGGTTCTCAAAGGACGGATATCATAATGGCCCCGAGGCTGTCACGCTGTCTGGTGATGAAGAAGATATGCGGTGGTCGCGGCTCACATGGCAGTCGATGCCTTGTTGTCGAGATCTTGTGATGGGACCCGGATGGCGCATTCTGGCGTCATGAGGTGGGGCTTATCGATAAGATGGTGCTGTCAATAGCCAATAAGAGACACAGACCAAAGATAAGGTCCACATTGGTACACCACGTACGGATACAGGTACGCTACCACGCTATCACACTAGGTACGTACAGATACATTGTAAGTACTACGGAGCATTAGGTATACAGTAAGGTAAGGACGGACCCCCACAGTCACTGCTACCTGCCGCCTGCCGCCTGTCACCCGATGCGTGCTGTCGCTGGGAGAAAGGGTCAGACCAATAGTGTCTCCTTCCTCTATATCTAATGTCTAGGTACCTTAGGTAGTTATCTACCTCGAGCTTACCTAAGATATCTAGGTACCCAAGTCATTCTGACCCTTCCTTTTTCTTCTCCTTCATCTTTTGCTTCCTCGCCAGGACTTACTCAGTACCACTATGCAATGCGTGACAGCTAGCTCAATACTATCAACACTCGGATTTCTCTTTTCTGCCGACTTCCAGGGACCACCTCTCCTTGCTGCTGCCAGGCCTCATTCGCACCTTGTCTGCCGCGCGCCCAATGAGAGCCGGGAAAGAAAGAAAGGAAGGGACCATGCGCGGACCGGACCCCTGGACTTTTTGTGTCTGTCGTCTGTCCACACCGTACTTGTATGCACGTCTGTCTCTCCTCCCGTCAACTCATTTTGATCTACAAGTACGGATAGAGGACGCTCAAGACATGTCATCCACTGGACTAATAAGGACTGACGGATGCTCAGAGGTGTGTGTGTGTGTGTATGTATGTCTGTGAGGATGATAGTGAAGCTGAGAGAGAGATAGAGAGAGAGAGAGACAAGGTGTGTGTGTGTATGTGTATCTGATGCTCCCGGACACTTGCCGTAGTGTAGTCCGTCCGTCCGTCCGTCCCGGTAATCAATCTCTGGCGCAAACAGTCCAAAGTGAGCACGCACGACAATGAGTGGACAGGACAAGACTGCATGCACTTGTCATGCATCTGACATGCTTCTGACCCTGCCTGCCTGTCTGCCTGTCTGCCTGCTGTTTGGCTTATCCCGTCTCGTCCGAATCCCTCTCCCCTAGGTTTCCCTCCCTTCTCTCACATACTCACTCCGTATTTCTCTCCTCTCACTCTCACTTCACCCGCTCACTCACTTACTCATTCCCTGCCTCGCCAGAAGTTGCTTTTTCCCATCTCTGCCTTACGGCAGCAGCCTGGACAGAGGACGAATCAATGTTCCCGATTTCCCGAGAACCTCCGTCTTTTCCGACCTTCTGGTCTCACTCAATATCAAGCTTTCCTCTGCTTCATTGATTACAACCTTGCCTACCTAACCTATGAATTACCATTACCACCCACCTACCTACCTACCTAGCTTACTGCAACCAACCTACGGATACCTTCCTTACCTAGGTACCCGACCTTAATCGCCTAGTCCCTGAGCGTTGTCTGTCTACCTTTTTTCCTATTCGAGGTAAACCTCTTCGACCTTCCTTACCTTACCTTTTGCTGCTCGCCTCGCCTCGCTTTCGTCTCGCCTCGTCTTACATAACCCCCTTTCCAACTCGTTTGTACCAACCGATTCTTGCTTTTTCTCAAAGGCACCGACCCATACCTACATACCTGTACAAAGGTACACGGTAGTCACCTGCTTCTGGCCGCAACAAGCAGATCCAGTCCGTCTGCATCTTCATCCTCAAACAAAACCCACGACAGTGTCCACCTCCCCCCCGTATCCGCCGTTTTGCTTGCTTCCTTGTCCCCATCCCGCAGCTCTCCGGTCGACCTCGAAACCTTATCGCCGCCGCCGCACGAATGAGCCCGCTCTAGCCAAACTCGACTCCCGCTCCGCCCCTCCGTCCGACCCATCCATCCTCTTCACACCCCTCCTCTCTCCTCCACCTTTTGCGTCGCTCGGTCCTCTCCCCCCCCCCCCCCCCCCCCCCCCAAAAAGAAAACCTAGAATTCCAACGACCGCAGAGCTTGTCGAACCTGAACGAACCTCGCCCTTCACCCGCCGCCTTAGCCCTGGTCGTACTGCCCGCTCAACCACCACCGCCGTCGCCGACCCAGCGCAACCTCGATAGCCATGGCGACGCCAGGCCCCGCGGGTGCCGCGAGCGTCAGCTTCGGCGCAGACGACGAGGTCAAGAAGCGCGTCGGCAAGAAACTTGTCAAGAAGCGCTTCGAGACAAACACCCCAGCCATCGAACTGCCCGAAAGGTTAAAGGAGGGCGACGATAGCAGAGAGGAGGATCTGGTCCCGACACAGGGCCCGCCCATGTTCATGAACATGAACCAGTCCATCTTCGGCCTCATCGCCGCCGCCGGCTCCCGTGTCGACTTCCACGATCGCTTCGAGTCCAGCGATGACGACAGCGGTGACGAACCCGACCACGACCGCCAACGCGACGCCCTCGACGACAAGAGCCGTGGTCTCGCCCATCTTCTCCACCGCAAGCAGCGCCGTCCCGACACCCACCAGCCCGACCTCTCCAAGACCACCGTCCTGAAAAAGGATTCTTCCTCCAAGAGCGAAAAGCACCGCCGCAAGATCTCCGGCTCCAAGCTCCTCCGCTCCCTGCCTGCCCTCCCGCGCCTGCCGCGACACAAGTCCAAAAAGGAGAAATCCAATCTACAGTCTCCCTCCTCCGATGAAGCCACCCACCCCTCCGAAGTCCGCCCGACCCAGCCCACCAACCATATAAGAGAGGAAGAGGGGGAAGAAGAAGAAGAAGACGACGACGACGAGGACGGTCGAGACTACCGCCATGCCCCGGTCATGAGTCGGATGCTGGAAGCCAAAGCCGAGATGTCCGCTAGACCCAGCTTTGACATCGATCGCCTCTCCGCCGACCAGCTCACTTACAGCGATTCCACCGAGTCCAACTCGACCGCCCTGGCACGTCGCCTGCAGGACATTTTCGAATTTGACCACCCAGAGGCTGTTATAGAGGGTACGCCCCCTCCCTCTTAATGCTGCCATGCGGTGCGCGCGCACGTGCACGATGTAGCTAATATTCGACAGAATACCCTTGCTGGCTGCTCCAGAGCGTCCTCCTCCAGGGCTACATGTACATCACGGCGAAGCACATCTGCTTCTACGCCTACCTTCCCAAGAAGGCGGTACGTCACCGACCCTCCCCTTGTCTTGCTTGGCAAGGCACTCACTAACCGGCGCAGCACGAGGTCGTCAAGTCGGGCTATCTGTCCAAGAGCGGCAAGCGCAATCCCAAATACAACCGATACTGGTTCCGCCTCAAGGGCGACGTTCTGGCATACTACAAGGACCCTTCCAACGTCTACTTCCCGAGCGGTCAGATCGACCTCCGCTACGGCATCTCGGCCAGCGTCAACGACAAGAAGGATGGCCTTGGCTTCACCGTCGTCACCCATCACAGGACATACCACTTCAAGGCCGACAGCGCCCCCAGCGCCAAGGAATGGGTCAAGAGCCTGCAGAGGGTAATATTCCGTTCCCACAACGAGGGCGACAGCGTCAAGATCTCGCTGCCCATTGAGAACGTCATCGACATCGAGGACACCCAGATGCTCGAGTTCGCCGACACGTGCAAGATCCGCGTCATCGACAACGACGAGACGTACGCCATTGATGAGTACTTCTTTTCCTTCTTCAGCTTCGGCAAGGACGCCATCAACGTCCTCAAGATCCTCATCGAGGATGCCTCGTCCAGCGCCAGAGATGCGGCGATACTCAAGGCCACGCAGGAGCAGCAGGACGAGAGGCAGCAGCAGCAGCAGCAGCCGGTGGCCGCCTCGGCGCGCAGTTCCACAAGCGTAAGCAGACGTCCCTCGGCGCCGCTCAGGCTCAGAACCAACAAGCTTCCTGATGCCGTTAAGGCGACCCTTTCGCCCTTGTCCGCCCACAGCCCCTCGGCTCTCAGCCCGCGCGCCAGTATGGATGCCGCGCACGCCAGCTTTGACGCCTTTAGGGGTTTCCGTCGGAGGAGTCTGGACCTGTCGACCATCATCCGTGATTCCTCGCCCCGGCGCAGCTTCAGCGGCAACAGGCGCTCGATGAGCAGAAACCGACTGGACGAATCCCGCCATACGCCGCACAATCAAGGTTCCACCGACTCGTACGTCCAGTCTTCCATGGAGGACCCGAGCTATTCCGGGATGGTGGCCTCGTCGAGTGAAGATCCTTCAGCGAGCCAGATCCTGCGAGGCAGCGACGTCTTCCAAAACCCTACGATGCACCGGTCGGCCTCGGTCTCTCGCACGGAGCTGGAGAAGAACCAACAACGGGAGCCCAGGAGCCCTCCCGCCCTAGCTGCCTACAGCGGGCAGCGTGCAGCGACCACCGGCTCCATCAACGACGGGGACAAGCCGCCGGCGACGCCGACCCTGCAGAGCATCACGAAGATGGGTGCCTTCCCATTGCAGCGCGTGGGCGCCTTTGCCGAGTACCTCAATAGCACCAGCAGTAAGTTGGGCTCGATGCTTGCCACGGAGTCCATGGGCTATGTCGAAAAGGTGTCCGGCATGTGGCGAGGCGGTCGGAAGCACTATGACGCTCCGCCGGAAATCAAGACGGACGACGAGGATCTCTACGAGGATGCCGAGGGCAAGATCCAGACGTCCATGGATCGTTTCCGCGCGCACTTCGCGCTGCCCGAGACGGAGAAGCTCCAAGCGACCTACTTCGGCTACATCCTGCGTGTTCTGCCGCTGTACGGCAAGATCTACATCAGCGACAAGTCGTTCTGCTTTCGGAGCCTGCTGCCAGGGACGAGAACGAAGCTCATCCTTCCCCTGAAAGACATTGAGAACGTGGACAAGGAAAAGGGTTTCCGGTTCGGCTACTCGGGTCTCGTGATTGTCATCCGAGGTCACGAGGAGGTCTTTTTCGAGTTCGGCCAGGCCGAACTCAGAGACGACTGCGCCGTCACGTTGTTGCAGAGCTTGGAGACAACCCGCTATCTGAAGGAGACGGGAGACTTGGACATGGAAGAAAAGGAGGAAGAGGTGAATGCCATGGCCGAGCGCGACGCGCTAAAGGAGGCCCGCCAGGTCGAGGAGTTCCACGACCACGAGCTGCGCCTGCCAAAGGAGTGCGCGGGTGCCAGCGACGCCCCGACGATCCTGTTCGACGACCCCAAGGCTTCGTTCCTCAACTTCAAGCCGTCCCATTCGATGAAGATCACGTGCCTGACGATCGGCTCCAGAGGTGACGTCCAGCCCTACATTGCCCTGTGCAAGGGCTTAATCGCAGAGGGCCACAAGCCCCGCATCGCCACCCACGCCGAGTTCAAGGACTGGATCGAGGGCCACGGCATCGAGTTTGCCAAGGTCGACGGCGATCCTGGCGAGCTCATGAGGCTCTGCATCGAAAACGGCACCTTCACCTGGGCCTTCTTGAGGGAGGCGAATTCCATGTTCCGCGGCTGGCTGGACGAGCTGCTGGTGTCGGCCTGGGAGGCTTGCCAGGGCTCGGATCTCCTCATCGAGAGCCCCAGTGCCATGGCCGGCATCCACATTGCCGAGAAGCTCTCGATCCCCTACTTCAGGGCCTTCACCATGCCCTGGACCCGAACCAGAGCCTACCCTCATGCGTTTGTTATGCCCGAATACAAGATGGGCGGCGCGTACAACTACATGACCTACGTCATGTTTGACAACATTTTCTGGAAGGCCACCGCGCACCAGATCAACCGCTGGCGCAACAACACGCTCAAGCTGCCCAACACCAGCCTCGAGAAGATGCAGCCAAACAAGGTGCCGTTCCTCTACAACTTCTCCGAGTACGTCGTCGCACCGCCGCTGGACTTTTCGGACTGGATCCGTGTCACCGGGTACTGGTTCCTGGACGAGGGATCGGATTTCCAGCCGCCCAAGGAGCTGACCGACTTCATCGCCAAGGCGAGGGCGGACGAGAAGAAGCTCGTGTACGTCGGTTTCGGCTCCATCATAGTCAACGACACGGCCAAGATGACCCAAGAGGTCATCGACGCCGTTCTCAAGGCAGACGTCCGTTGCATCCTGTCCAAGGGCTGGTCGGACCGCGTAGCCAAGCCGGAAGACGCGGGGGGCACGAAGAAGGACGAGCCGGTCATGCCGCCCGAGATCTTCGTCATCAAGAGCGCGCCGCACGACTGGCTGTTCTCGCAGATTGATGCGGCGGCGCACCACGGCGGATCCGGCACAACGGGCGCCAGCCTCAGGGCGGGTATACCCACCATCATCCGACCGTTCTTCGGCGACCAGTTCTTCTTTGGTGCTCGCGCGGAAGACATTGGTGTCGGCATCTGCCTGAAGAAGTGGGGGGCGGTTTCTTTTGCCCGCGCCCTCTGGGAGGCTACGCACAACGACCGCATGATAGTCAAGGCCCGCGTGCTCGGCGAGCAGATCCGCAGTGTAGGTCCAATGCCTCCTCCCCTCCCCGGTGAAGACATTTGTAGGTGGCGTGCGCGCGCTGACACACACGATAGGAACGCGGAGTGGAGAACGCCATTCAGTGCATCTACCGCGACATGGAGTACGCGACAAGCTTGATCAAGAGAAAGGCGGGCAAGCATGCCCAGGCCGAAGAGTACGACGACGAGGAGGCCGAGGAGAGCTGGACCTTTATAGGAAGCGACGAGCCAGACCCGGACATGACGACCAAGAAACTGTCAGAGATAGGAGGGGTCCCCGGGTTACCAGAGTCCAAGCCCCTCGGCAACAGAGTGATGCGCGTGTCGCCCTCGGCCTCGCAGCAGCAGCAGGCAGTCTAGGAGGCCGACCAGCAGCTGCTCCGGGAGGTATCGGAGGACGGCAGGGGACGCGACCCAGATCCGGAGGCAGCATCCGAAGTGGATGACCTGGATTCCGACTGGGATGACTTTGGAGACTCGGAGACATTAGTGAACTAAATGAATGGGTCATTTCGGTGAGTGGACAGAGGGCGTTATTTCACGGCTTACAGGAACCGGGCGAGGGCTTTGTTCTTACACGCCGTCTTTATCTGGATCGGAGTCAGCGGGGAGGGGGAGTTGGCTTGGATGATGAGCCCGGGGAAGGGAAGTCTACGATGGGATTTGTTTGTGGCGTGATCAGAAGGCACTAGGGACACGGAAGGAAGGCGGGCGTTACCCATGCATAGAAGAGGACCATTAATGCTCGATCACGACGATTTTTATTTATTTTTATTTTGGCGGGTGATGGGAGAGGCTCGGGAGGCTTGTAGAATATGGGACGACGGCCACATGACTGTATGACATTGGACACCAACTCGGCCATGGCAAGGCAATGATGAGACTTTTTTCCTTTCTTTTTCTTTTCTTCTTCCATGTTTTATTTGAATTTTAAAAGATTTCTTCTTGAAAAAAGACGTAAAGATTGAATGCTGCCATTGTCCGTATATGGTGCGGCGTGGCGTGGTGACCAAGACTGATGGAAGCAAAGGCGGCCCCCCTGTGTCTGCGGATCGTCCGCGGGCAAACACGGCTGTTGCATGTTGGCCCAGTTGGATGTCTTGAATGTCCCCCCTCCCCACCGCCCTCGGGACCCCAGACTGTTGCAGCTGCCCATGGGGAAAAGGGAGATGGGGCGAGTGTGGCAGCGTGCGTCAATTGGAGGGAGGTTGGAAAGCGGCGGACCTGTTGTCGAAAGAAACAGAATCAGGAGAGGTTTACTCGGTAGAGAGAGGGCGATTGCTCATGTGAGAGGCCGCGTTCACGCCACTTTGGTTGTTGGATGGGGAAAATGTTGGCTGACATGTCTTGATTTTATTCTTTTACTTCCGGGCCAGGCCGCATACAAATACATACACACACACACACATGCTCCCCTTGGGAGCGCTTGTTTCTAGGGACGCATGATGGACGGATGGGTAGGAAAGGTGTGCAAGTAAGCAAGGCAAAAGAGGTATAGCGGAGGAACGGAGTTGGGGGGGGGGGGGGGGGGAGTGACTGACTGACTGAGTGGGTGAGGTGAGTGAGGTAGTGAGTGAGTGAGGTAGTAGTGAGTGAGTGAGTGAGTGAGTGTACGGATACTCCGTCCGTATTGGGAATGACAAGGGGCGAGAAGAGGACAAGCCAGCTGACCTCCGGCTGGCGCCACTTGCCAGAAACGGGAAAGGCGGTTGAGCAGGTACAAATAGGGCCTCTTATCCCACTCTTTCAGAAGGGGAAGGCGCTGGCTGAGGTGACAGCAGTGGTTGACCGACGGACACACACACACACCACACCACACACCCCCATCGCGTCGCATCGCCTCAGGTGTCTGTATTTGTACCTTTTCTTTTTATCACTCACCGAGAAAAGTCGACTACACGATACAACACCTGCACACCTACACACCTACACACCTACACACCACATACACCGAACACACATCACGCTATACATACAAGCCGGGCTTGTAACTCGACCACATCTGTGTAAAGCCAAAGCTGTGTACAGACAAACTGTGTACAAATACACACACACACACACGCACAACAGGATCTTGACCTTGACCTCGATCTCGACCTCGTCCGCTTTACGGCCACTGCCGGGAGAGGCGCAACCTAACTTGGCTCAAGCACCCCTGCCATCTCTCCCCTTTTTACGTCTAAGGTACGGATATACACACACCACCTCACCTCCCTTCCTATCTAGTACCGTGTACACTGTCTACCCGTCTCGGTCCCACTATTTATGGTGGTACTCAGTACGGATACATAGCCAAGCACACAGCACCTTCCCCCGGTTCTCCGGAATAACCACTCTCCGTATCCCGAGACCCACCCGGAGCTTACCTGGTCTGTGCACCCGCCAGATCCAACCCCACTCCGTTCTGGCTGGATTCCCCCGGTTGACTCGTCCTCACCGGGCCCGTCACCTTTACCTTGCCTTTCCTTGCCTTACCTCCCGTGTGCGTCACGGTTCGGCCCAGACCTGACACTCTCACACACTCTCTCTCACTCACTCTCACTCTCTCTCACTCTCTCTCTCACTCTCTCTCTCACACACTCTCCACCAGAAGTTCCACCAGAAGTCCCCAAGCTCCAAAGCCTGCTCCTCCTCCTCTTCCTCCTCTTCTTTCGCCCCCCCCCCCCCCCCCCCCCCCCCCCTTCAATACGCCCGAGAGCCGCAGCTGGGACGTCGCCTTCACGCATCGCATCGGGTCAAGCCCTCCCTCTTCCCTCTCAACCACCACCACCAGACACGGACAGACACAAGCTCACTCTATTGTTTTTAATTGCATTTCAGGAACCCGACTTCTTCCATCCACTTGCATTGTATCCCCAAAAGTCAATTGCGCTCGCGAACCACCTGCCAGATAGATAGATACCTATCTCTACCTTACCTATTTTAGCTAGCTTCGGGGCAATGGGACTGGCCACCGTACCGGTACCTTCTCTGATCGTTGCTGGGGGACTCTCATTACTAGGTTCGTCGCATCCCCCTCCCCCCTCTCTCCTCCGACCTTCGATATGTCACCAGACCTCTCGTCGCGTCTCTTGTCGCTTCTGCTCCTGCTGCTGCTGTTGCCGCCGTTGCCGTCGCCGTCGCCGCCTCAATCCAACCCTTCCCCTTTGCATCTCATCCATCTCTGTCTCGCACGCGTGCCCGCGCGTCTCGAAGCCCACGGCGCTGACCCATCTTCATCTTTTGTCGCGACAGACTTCTAGGCAATCCCTCCAGTAACCTGCCATCACCATGGGCAAGCTACTCCCACTCGGCGCCAGGCTGCGCTACCCGATTACTGTTACGAAGCTACTCAAGAGTCCTGGCGATACCATCAAGAAGCAGGAAAGCATCCTGGAATACTCGTACAAGTCCATGCGCGAGTATGGCGACCCCATCGCCGGCGAAACTTGGCAGGAGGAGGTCACCACCATCGCCGGCTGGGATAGTCCCGCCGAGGGCACCCTCAAGGAATGGCGTCTCAAGGAGGGCATGACCCTCACGCGCGACGCCCCTTGCATGCTCGTCGAAGAGGCCTGCTCCCACGAGATCCAGTTCCAGGGCCTGTGTGCCATCTGCGGCAAGGACATGACCGAAGTCAACTGGGCCAGCGACCAGCGCGACACCCAGCGCGCCACCATCAACATGACCCACGATCAGACCGGCCTCATGGTCAGCGGCGACCTGGCCGCCCGCGCCGAGCACGAGACCCAGAAACGCCTCCTGCGCCAGCGCAAGCTGAGCCTCGTCGTCGACCTCGACCAGACCATCATCCACGCCTGCATCGAGCCCACCGTCGGCGAGTGGATGGAGGACCCGTCCAATCCAAACTACCAGGCCGTCAAGGACGTCAAGAAGTTTCAGCTCAACGACGAAGGCCCCAGGGGAATGGTCACCTCGGGATGCTGGTACTACATCAAGATGCGGCCCGGCCTCGCCGAGTTCCTCGAAAAGGTCGCCGAGCTGTACGAGCTCCACGTCTACACCATGGGCACCCGCGCCTACGCCCTCAACATTGCCAAGATCGTCGACCCTCACCAGAAACTGTTCGGTAACCGCGTCATCAGCCGTGACGAGAACGGCAGCATGATTTCCAAGAGCCTCCAGCGGCTGTTCCCCGTCAACACGAACATGGTTGTCATCATCGACGACAGAGCCGACGTCTGGCCGAACAACCGACCCAACCTCATCAAGGTCGTGCCCTACGACTTCTTCAAAGGCATCGGCGACATCAACTCCAGCTTCCTCCCCAAGAGACAGGACATCCTACCCGCGCCGACAACCGAGCCCGGAGCGACGCCCGCGCCGCCGGAAGCGCCCAAGCCTGTCGATGCCAGGCCCGACGATACGCGGCAACAACAGCAACAGCAACAGCAGCAGCAGCAGCAGCCGAACGGCAAGGTGTCAGCGCTGGACGAGCTCGTCAAAATGAGCAGCGGGGACGACAAGGTGCTGCAGGCGGCGCAGACCGGGGAGCAGGAGAAGCTGCTGGAGCAACAGATCATGGAGAGGCCCCTCCTCCACATGCAGGAGGAGCTGGACAAGCAAGACGAGCAGAAGGAGAAGGCCACATTAGACACGGAAGACGGCCCGCACATCATGACGGTGCAACATCGGTCTCAGGTTCTCCGCGACGACGATGCGGAGCTCGTCTACCTGCAACAACACCTTGCCGAGCTTCACCGCAAGTTCTACGAGGAGTACGACGAGAAGCGCGCTTCTATGCCGGCCCAACCCGCTCCGCGTAACAAAAAGACAGGCGGCGGCGGCGACGACACCAACATTGACCTCGCCGCGGTTCCGGATGTCGGTTTCGTCCTCGACACCATGAAGGCCTCGACCCTCCAAGGCACCACAATCGTGCTGTCCGGCCTGGTCCCGCTGGGCGTGGACGTGCTGCAGTCCGAGATTGGCATCCAGGCCATGAGCTTCGGCGCTCAACTATCCACAAAGGTGTCAAAGAAGGTCACCCACCTCGTCATGTCCACGTCACGGCCGCGGACGCAAAAGGTCAGGCAGGCCGCAAAGATTCCGAGCATCAAGATTGTCAGCCAGAACTGGCTGACGGACTGCCTAAGTCAATGGCAACACGTCGACGAGACACCGTACCTCGTCGCGGTCCACCCGGCAGACCGACGCCGCCATGCGGCTTCCGAGACGACGGATGCCGATACGGTGTCTGACGTGGACGACGACGATGACCTCTCCAGGCCGCATCTGACCATCATCGACGAAACGGGGGAGCACCGCATCCTCGAAGAAGACGACGACGACGCCTCGGACGAAGACGACGGCGGCCAGGACGGGGACGAAGACAACCTGATGCCCGATTTCGAGGACGGCCAGACCAGCCCGATAGACGACCTCAAAACATTTGACTGGGAGGGCGTCGACGACGAGATGAAGGAGTTTCTCGGCAGCGACGACGATGACAGTTCGGACGCAGACACGGAGAGCCGCAGCGGCGACACCGAGGTCGGCGACGAGCCGCCGTCGTCCCAGGAATCGGCCAACGGGGTCACCGGCGGCGGCGGCGGCGGCACTAAAAGAAAAGCAATGGACGACGACACGGCGTCCGACGAAGGAGGAAGCGCGCTCTCCAAGAAACAGCGCGTGGCCAAGAGCCGCGGCGCCTCCAAGCTGAGCTCCGTCAGGACGCCCAACGCCGAAGACAACGAGTCGAGCAGCCTGCCCACCCCTCAAGTCACGGGCGACGAGGAGGACGTCTCGCTCGTGCCCGACAGCGCGGCAGTGGACGGGGGCGACAACGACTTTGACGAGGACGATCTCGAGGCCGATCTCGAGGCCGAACTAGCGGCTGCCGGGGAGGACTAGTAGCAAAACTTCCCGGGGCCCGAGCCCGAACGCCGCCGTCGGTCCACAGCTGCATGCATGTAAACGCAACTGGGCGGACGCGGGGGAGGGGGAAGGGGGGTTTCTCGAAGGGGTCTTGGCAGTGGTGGAAAAGTTGGTTGGCTCTGGTTTGTTCGGTTTATACCCAGCCTTTCCGTTGGCGAAGCATGGCATGGAGTTGAGATGTGCGAATATTTTGTAGGGTTCATATGCTAGTATGGCTGTTATCATTATTTCTTGGGAGGGGGGAGATTGGCGAATTAGACGATAATGTCGGGTTGGACATGCTGTAAAGCCTAGAAATATGAGTTCACTCGGACGATCCAAGTCTGTGTGCGATCCTAAACGTGGTGACTTGAGTTGTGAGTACGGTTCCAGGCGTGTCCCGGTGTGTCTCGTTATGTCTCGATGTGTCCCGGCGTATACGTACCTTTCTCGGTGTATTCGGTCAAAAGTGGACCCGAAGGTGTGTGTGTGCGCGTGCGTGAGTCCTTACATAAGCGAGCAGCCCAATTGAGCGAATCACCGTCGACGGGAAAACAATCACACCTCAGGCAACACCTTCCCCAGTCCCTCCCAAAGCTTCGAACCGCGAGAGCTCGACGACGACGACGACGAGGACGACGACGAGGTCGACCCTTTACGCCCGATAATTCGAAAAGCAGAACTCGTTCTCCTCTACTCAATTGGACCCTCCCCGCGCCGGACGTCCCGACGGAGAGAAAGAGACCGAGAAAACAACATAATCACCTTCACAAATCCCGAGCGCAAGCCGACCGGGTTGGGTCGGTAGGAACAAATCGAGCCAAGATGCCTCAGGATATGCCGCCCGTGGGGGGATACCAGGCTGTGCAGTATAAGGTGAGTCGAGGTGATTTCCGCCTTACTGGCGGGTGGGGGGGGGGGGCGGGAGAACATTGGGCGAAAGGTCTCAGGGCATGAGGCGGATCGGAGGGAGGAGGAAGCTTCGGGGACGAAAAAGCGAACTCGGAAGAGAAAGGATATACGGGAACCGTGTCATGCGATGAGCCGTGCTGCTGGAGGGCGCTGCGTGGACTGGCACAGAAGATGGCTTCGGGGTCGGCGGGAGAGGCACTGGGCGAGAGACCACAGACGGATGCGACGAGGACTTTCTCTCTCTTTCTTTTACACTCTGTGGAAGGACATAATGCTAATCATCCTGTGGGACACAGCGCAACCTGCCCGCCCGTGGATTCCGCCCCGGCACGATGTTGCTGGGCATGGGACTGGTGATGGGATACGGATGGTACCACCTGATCAAGGGTATCCGCGAAGCCAAGTACGTTTTTCTTCCCAAACACAAGAGAGGGAACAACACCCGAGCCGGGGCAACATAAAAGTGCTGACCGATCGCAGCGAGCTCGCGAGAGAGAAGATGTGGGCGCGCATCCACCTCATCCCCCTCCTGCAGGCCGAGGAGGACCGCGACCAGGTCCGCAGGTGGTACGCCGACCAGGCGAGAGAGAAGGAGCTGCTGGGCAATAACAGCAAGGTCTACCACTCTGACAGGTACGTCGACTTTTCCCGTTTTCCGTCTTCAGCCCATCCCCCCTTCCTGTATCTTTGGATATCACCCTGTAGAGCATTTCCATGTCCAAAGGGAGAAGAGGCCACGACTGACAACATCACCACAGATTCGTCCGGCCCACTTTCGCCGTCACGCCGTCAACCAAGAACTAGATATTGCCCCGTCGTAAGATGAGTCGGGGAGAGGGGGGGAAACGCTGCTGGGGCAATACCCTGAGACGATTTGAGGGGAGAAAGAGCCGGCGAGACGCCGGCGTGTGTACATGCTATTTTTGTTTTCTTTTTTCTCTTCCGGGAACGGAGAGAGAAATGTCATGGAAAGTCCTGTTTGAATCAACCATGCCGTCTGTGCCACGGGCTTGTTGTGTGACGTTGTGACATGGTAGAGAGTAGAGTCCCCTCTCCCCCAGGCCAGACGATACTCTGTTGCCGGTGTTGGCGTGACTGTCGCCAATGCGATTCGAAGCTCTGGCCTCGTAGATGACAAGACCTTGGCAAAGCGACTTCTCTTTTCTCGTCTCCCTGGAAACACACATACACACACACTGGGTTTGGACCGCCGCAGGAGATTGTAGCCGGGGCCCGGCGGACGGTACCCTTTGAGGCGGCCGCCCCTCCGTGCCGTGCCGCCGCGTGGCTCATGGGTCTTCATCAGTCGAAGCTATACTTGCTTGTCCTCCGGGGGGGTTGCTGTGAATATGCAAGGGCCCCTATCACTTAAGCAGTTGACATCTTTAACCCTCGAGAGGGGTTAAAGTTGCAGTGAAGTCTAACATCCAGATCGGATGCGCGTAAGCCACAGGAGGGGCACAGCGGAACCCGGGCCTTGACGAGGACGGGCCTAATCGGGACGGCGTCTCTCTCGAGCTCTCGCTCAGGGTAGACGTGGCCCGGTCGAGTCCGGTTCCGTGGTGCGGTGAACACGGCTTTTGCGCGACACAAAGATGCCTCGGTTGCAGAAAAGGACTTTGAGGAGGTTCGGCACGACGCCGTATGGCTGCTGAGCACACTCTTGTCTCCATGTCGAACAGATTCCGGTGTATTCCTGGTTTAATGTCCAGACCCATCTTGACACAGTTGGAGAGGGAGCCTCATCCTTGTCGGCCCGCCATGGCATTGGAGATATATGCTGGACGGACTGGGGATACAACAACCCTCTTTCCCGTTTATAGCTCGCGGTCTGTGTATATAGTGAGCCGTGGGGAACGAGACCTAGTTCGATATTGATGAGAGCGACGCTTTCGTGTTGACGTAGGAACTATAAAGTGCCGAGACTCTAAAGGGCTCTTCAGCATAACGTTTTGCAAGTATATCAGACTTGGACCGAGACAAATCGGATATGCAGTATACTTGAATTGCACGCAGTCCGTCGCATATAGGAAGCAAGGTGATGGAAAAATCAATTCGTCAACGTCATTAAGGCTCATCATCCATACAGTGGTATACCCAAAGTGACGCAAGTCAAATAGCCAACCACCCCAGACAACACAACAAGAACCGCCAACGCCGACCCACAACCCTTCCCCTATTTTCTACACGGCCACAAGGCCCAGCTAAAATCGCCTCCATATAACGTCCGTCCCCCAACCTTACGCCCGGGACTGAATGACTCTGAAGCCCTCCGAGACAGTCTTGGCGATCTCCTCGTTCTTGTGCTGCAGCAGCCCCAGCGCGAACGCGACGTCGTTCCACTGGCGTTCCGTCTCGCAGCGGGCGAGCCTGGCCGCGAGCTTGTCGGCCAGTTGCTTGGCGTGCTTGTCCTTCTCGACGAAGCCCAGGAGGAAACGGATGATCCTGCGGAAACTCTCCTCCTCCAGGTTCTTCTCGGCGGACAACAAGCTGAACATGTCGACAAAGTGGTTGTAGACGGCGTTGTCCTTGGTGCTGAGTTCGGTGAAGAACATTCTTGCCAGATCGGCGATGCGGCGGTCCTCGTCTTCGAGGCACTTGGCCATCTCACCTAGCTGACCCTTGACCTTGACCTGACCGGCGAGGATGAGGAAGGTCAGGGTCATCAGGCAAGTACGCTTCACAGACTGGTCCTTGTCGGCCAGGCGGCGGTACAAGAAGTCCGTGTTTTCGTCAATGAGGTGGTTGAAGCACACCGCCATGTCACCAAGCGCGATGACGGCGTTGGAGCGGACCGTGGCGTTGGTCGAGCGTTCCATGATGGTGATGAGCAGCGGCAGGTTGGCCTCACAGTACTCGGAACTGACACACATGAGCTTGGCGAGGCAGAGGGTGGCAGCGGCCTGCAGCCCCTTGTCGGCGTACGTCGTGTTGTTGGCGCAGATCTCCGACACGAGGGGCCCGAACTGGGCCAGCAGGGAGTCGGGGCCGAACAGGAGCTCCCGCTCACGGATGTGCGCCATGGCCTCGGTGAAGTCGTCCTCGGTCGTGCCGCCGATGAGGTCCAGATCATCGGGCTCGTCCTTCTTGCCTGCCTGGGCCGTCGACTTGTCTGCCGTCTTTTCCTTCTCCTGGTCCTGCTTACGGCGCTTGAAGTCGAGTTCGCAGAGTTCGAGGTGCACAATTTGCTTGATGGCAACGTGGCCGACGATGAACAGAAGCTGGGACAGACCGATGGCCGCATCGCGCTTCTTCGGCTGCGAGGCAGGGGGCACCACCGTCTCATTTCCGTCCTCGTCCGCCTCGGCGGACTGGCTTTCGTCTCGCGACACCGGCCTGGAGCTCGGCTGGGAGCTCGGCTGGGAGCTTGCTCGTGACTGAGGAGCGGAAAAGACCTGCTTGGTCTTGTGGCGGATGATCTCGGAGCAGAGTATGTCGGGGTGCTTGGAAATGGCGTAGATGGCATTGATGGCCTGCTCAGCGACACCGTACCACTCCTTGCTCTCGGACGGGACCTCGGTGATGGACGCCAGCTTGGACAGAACGGCGTGATCGTTTGGCAGCCTGGAGAACTTGAGAGCAGACTCTTTTGCCTGACGGCCGGTGGGGTTGATGCGGCGGAGAGCGATGCAAGTGTACTTGGCCAGCTGGAGATCGGCACGGCCGTGGGCCCCCAAGCCGGTGCGCAGCATGGTTTCCATCTCTCCAACAACGATCTCGGGGCTCGCGGTTGCGAGCATGCCCAGGACGATGATGGCGCCACGACGTTGCGTCCTGGAAATCTCGCGCTTTTGCACGCCGTACACTTGCCAGAGCTTGGCGATGACGATGTCGGGAATCAAGCCCTGCTTCATCATGGTGCTGAGCAACTGCTCCAGCGACGTCAGCTCGGCGGGGGTGGCCCCAAAGGTCAGACTGATCATGTTCCGGGCGATGAAGTTGGCCGCGTCGTTGGAGCTGAAGGAATCGGGCGCCTCGAAGAAGAGGCGCTTGTAGACATCTATCAGGTGGCTCTGGACGCCCTTGCCCTCGTCGCTGTTGCCCTTGGTCCAGATCAAGCGCAGCATACGGCGGATGCCAACCTT